ACACACTACAACTCAAAGCCAGTTGTCAAGGATATAGTCCGTGTTGGAGCTAGTTTAAAGGATTACATCTGCCACCTCCAGATTCCAGAAATTTGTTTCCAGAACAGCCTGTGTTTTAATATAAAAGAAGTAAATTCAGAGAGAACACTTTCATATCTGATTTAGAGGATATTAATCACAACAAACCCCATCAAGTTCTGTTTGCATATAGAATAAACTTGTATAAAATTAATGTGGCAAGAAGGAGGTGGCTTGTCAACCCCATCTCTAACAGAGTTGGAGTTACTTTTAATTTTAAACTCCTCAGCCATTGAAAGTGTCAGTGGTTTGCCATGCAAAGCGCCTGGAAAACCAACTGAGTCACTCTGTGACCACAACAGTAGGCAGGCCTGCTGGGCTGCCTCAATTAGCTTGCCTTTTCATAGGGCAGAAGTGGCTTGTCTGGATGACAGGAATGCAAACAGCCTCCAAATGCAGCACCATTAAAGAGTACTAAAAACATGCATGGAAAAGTTCATGCCACAAAAGAACATTGCTTAGTGTCACTCAAAAACATGATTTAGAGTTCAAGGTCCTCCAACAAATATTGCACTTATTAATGCTGGACACTTACTTTGCTGAAATAACCTTTACAGTCTTACCAGTAACTGCTGATACTACTTAAGACATTCCTGTACTCGTGTCCCACACTTGCATACAAAAGCACTTGGGAGCAATAGAAGCTTCCTCATTTACAGTGAATTACCTGAGGCTAGGGACCAAAGAAGACGGTTTCTAAGGCAGCTCCAGTATCAGCCTCAGTTATAACCTGCCACAGGCAAGGGCACTATTCATCCATGCAGCCTCCAAAGCCCCTGTACGAACACCCACCTATACCAGGATCACCACATTTCTTGGACATGGACAATTCTTCCAGTTTATCCATGACTCACTTTGCCCGTTTTCTACCAGAAAACTATTTAAGAACAAAACAGCAACTGGCACACGAGATCAGTGCGTGGCTCAGTCCAGTAACAGACAGTGCCTGGTGCTGTATGGCTCACTCCAGGCAGTCAGTCACCAGCTTTGGTTTTTCAGAAAGCTCCTCGGTTGTGTCCCTTCCTCACTCAGCAGTATCTGTAATCTCCAATAATGTGGACAAAATTCTGACCAATCCTTTTGGAAACTCCTCTCAGTTATTTACATGTCTGATCATTTCACCGACTTAAACTTGCTGACTTTTTATGATCTTCCATATAGACAACATAAAGTAAACAATGATTCCAAAGACAAGGAAGAGGACACGGCAAAGCTGTAAAACCCAACATCCATTCCCTTTTTGTAATACAGAGGCTCTGTGTTCTGCCAGTGCAAGGCAGCAAACCCTTTGTAAAAGGGGATCTGGAGACCAGAAGGGACCTTTCTTTAAGAGAACTGAACAATAATCAAAGCCCCAGATGTTGATCTCTTGCCTCTTGCAGCAGTGTTCCCTGTTCTCTAACACCCAACTGACATTCAAGCGCTTTGACTATACTGTGTTTAATAGTAATATCTTTTTCAGATCCATTACAACTCCTGATTGAAGGGGTGTTTTCCAAAGGGATTAAGGTATTGATCACTCTTTTGTGTGTTTTCCAGATTGAGTACATACTGTAAGAACATAATTCAGTCTTTTATGAAGCCCTAAATGATTCTAAGTCCCCTTAGCTGGTAGGTACACCAAGTGGTTCTCACATTCTGGGCCTTGAGAGCCACCTGGTGGAAAACACCATAAAAAATACTCCTGCAAATTACACAAGGAGTAAAGAGACACAAGAAATATGCTGCAGGGGAGAAGGGGAGTCCTAAATGGTGAGGCACTGGAATAGGTTGCCCAGGGACGTTGTGAATTCTCCATCCCTGGCAGTGTTCAAGACCAGGTTGGACGAAGCCTTGGGTAAGACGGTTTAGTGTGAGGTATCCCTGCCAATGGCAGGGGGGTTGGAACTGGATGATCTTAAGGTCCTTTCCAACCCTAACCATTCTATGATTCTAAACAGCCAAAAAAGAGGGGAGGGGGAATCACATCAGACAGTATTTATCTATTTGCCAGCATTATTAAAAACTAAATCACTTTCTGTTTTAATTTGGGATAAATACATCTAAAAGAAAAGCCAGTCCTATTTTCTGCATTTTAGATAGCTTTGTTTTGTCACAATATCTCATGCAATAAGCATTCAGGGCATCCTATGGAAATGTGAATGAATTAAAGTATATCTAGCAAATATTCTTCTCATCCTCAAGCTATCTCCCACTTAACAGGATGAGAACACTGGGAAAAGCCTTGTACTTATCCTGGAAAGTTCTGGCAGGCAGCAGGAGAGATCAGTTCCCATAAACCTCCTAACAGCGAATGTTCCAAGCAGCGTCTTTCTACTTACAAGATAGATTTTCCTACACAGAGCACGTACCAGAGAAATAAAGCAACACAGTGGCAAAAGCAGTGATGATACCAGTTTCATTTCATGTTTCTGGTACAGACTCAAAACTCGGTTGCTCTATGGACCCTACCATCAACACAGTATTTAATGGCATATTTAACCAAATATATTGTATCTCAGTGTACTGCCTCAGAGGTGCTGATATAATGGTCCCAATCTCAGCATTCAGCTCTAAACCATTTACTAAATAATGTCTTTAATCTGGTGTGACACTTTCATGCAGTAAAAGCACAAGTTCTGAGAACTGCACCAGCATTTTGCTTCCACCCACCAAATCCCTTCAGCCAGGCCAGCCAGATCTGCCTTGGCCTCATCACTATATCCTTGAATGTTTCACAATGTTTGTTCTGCTTATTCTTCTGGAGCTGATCTGATTTCACTTGTTATCTAAAGCAGAAAACTAAATTCTCGTGGTATTTATTTTAGTAAATCATCATGTTTCTTTCAGGACGGTTTTAATGTCTGACCCAATCCAAGGACACACAGACTACCTGTAAGGCTCCAGTTTTGGTACTGAAGAACAGTGGAAGAAGAGACATTTAAAAGTGAGTACTAGTTAAAAAAACCCTGAAGTTTTAAGATTTTCTTCTGTGAAGCTTTTTATTCACCTTCCTTTTTTACCTATTTAATTTCATAATGAAAAATAATCAAAGGAAATTTACAGGAACCTTGAATAATACCTTAGAATTCACTTATCCCTTCCTCAAAAATAAGCAATGACTGATAGTAATATTCTTTGGTATGGAATGCTTAAATAATTAAATATCAACCCAGCTGCTGTGACAGAGCAGCCTTTGACTGCAGAGCTGGTTCAAAATGTGGTTTAATGAGATGGAAGAAGCCAGTCCCTGGGGGCTGCCCTTGCTTTAGGAGGTCCCAAGTAAGATCTTAGCTGAGAACAAATCCAGACAAGGGGGTAGGGTGTTGGTAAGTTTCACATCTCAGGGTGCACATCAAACCTTTTGTGACAGCTCCCTAAAAAGGAAGGCTGTACTAACAAGTTGCAATGGCAAAACCACCAAGATTTAAACAGCTTCTTCCTGGAATCCCCCTGATTTTACAATTGCTAAACATTCCATCAGAATTTTCTCTACTTCAGGGCTTACTCTTTTTCAGGCCATAAAAATGAAAACTGGGTGCCCAGAAAACCACTTCCTTTGGAATGAATTCTGTGCATTTGATATGGAGTAACTGTAATCCACAATTTTAATAACTGCAGAAAGGAAGGGGTTTAGTATTCCCTTTCTTTATGCTTCTGCACTGGGGCAACAAATAGTAACAACATAACGCATGAAAGCAAGAGACCTTTAGAGTTTAGACTTTCAGCACGGGACGATGCTTAAGGTCTAAATGCAGTCTGTTCACTCCATAAATAGAAAGATGAAACCAAAGGGATGGTATTTATCCACCTCTTTTCTCTTGCCTATACTGCTGAGCCACTCCGGCGTCCCCCTTGTTGTTGGGGCCATGTGGGCCACGGACCTGTCCCAGGGAAACAAGTTCACTGTTGTGCTCTGCAGGTGAGTGGCCAGCAGCAACCCTGATTGTCTCATGAACCTGTCCTTCCTTTGTTGTTCTACAAAGTACTATTTCTATTCGCCCTCAATGCAATTCTCGAATTATCTAGTCCAGGTATAACTCAAGTCAGATTCACATCTAAAATTGGGCCAATGGGATGTGGGGTTTCATTTTTTCCCTCAGTTGTGGTGTTACTGCCTGCTGCTTGTTACAGAGGGTACAAAACACAACCTGCGCTCTGTACCACCTCTCTTAAATCGCTTATTTCCTTAAAGCCCTGAGGAGGCCCGACTCCCTCCTCAAGGCAGGCGGTTAAACAAACACGGCAGGCCCAGGGCCCGGTGGCCGCGAGAGGGGAGGAGAGCAGCCCTCGGGGCTCCCCTCATGGCGCGGGCTGGCGCTGAGGGGCTGCCGGGCCAAGGCCCCGCGGCGGCGGCGACTCACGTTTGACGAGCTCCTCGGCCGCGAAGCCGGCGGCGCAGCTGGTCACCAGCGCCAAGGGCCCCGCCGCCGCCATGGCGCCCGCCGCCGCGCCCCTTCCGGCACCGCCGTTACCACACAGCGGCGGTGGGGGGGAGGACAGCGGGCCCAGCCCTCGCTTCCCGTGCGTTTCCCCCCCCCCCGCGGCGCGGCGGATGGTGCGGTCCGGCCAGCGCGTCCCGTTGCTAGGGGCGAGGGCAGCGGCCGCCATGGCCGGGTTCGCGGAGCCGCGGCTGGAGGCGGGAGCCGGCCTGGGGCAGGTGGGTCCGGGCAGCGCCGCACCGGCCCCGGCAGAACCCCCAGGGGGCCCCGCTCCCCTGCTGCGGGGACGGGAGGGCTCAGCCCCTGCGTGAGGCCACGGCGACCTTGGGACAAGGGCTTGGGCTGCCGCCTTTCTATTCTCTTATCAAGTACAGAAGTTATAGGGAGCCACGTGCTTTTTTCTCTTGTATTTAGGAAATACTGAATTTTGGCTAAGTCCTGCTACGTAACGATGGTTTTGGTTATGGGTATGATTTTTGGCATAACTTGTTTTTTAGGTGCAAGAACTTGGCAAGCTTAACGTTAAGATGAAAAATACTGACTTGAAAAGAAATGTAGAAACTGTGGATATCAGTGACTTCAAAACGGTGGGGGAAAGAACTGAACTTGGGATGAGAGTAAGTAAAATAGAGCACATGCAGAAGTACGATTTCCTTTTGTTTGGGTCATCAGAATTACCTGATCTTGTGCCCATCAGCCAAAATCAGACTTAGTCCAACAGAAGCACAAAGTCCATCACCTTTTCAGTCAAGTGAAGGCCTGGACTGCAAAATTAACTGAGTTAAGTAAATTTAATATCCCTCATACCTTTGTAATACTCTAAACATTTTTTTTCCCTCTAACAGAAACATGCTGAAAATTATTTAAGTGCTATAAACAGACAAGTGTTAACTATTTCTTCTGCTGGTAATAAAGAAGTACATTCAAAAGGGCCCCCTAAATGGTAAGTGAAACAGCTGGTCTATTGCAGAGACAAATGCAAGCAGCAGGACAGAAAAACTGGGGTTTCAGAGTCTTGTAAAGCAAATGGGAGTATTGGCCCAGATGAGGTTATTCTGGTCATTTGCTAGTTTGGTTTTAAGTTAAAAACAGTACAGAAGAAAACGTACTTCTAAGTAGCTACGACAACCTTCTGTTAAGTCCTGTGATCTTTCCTTTGTTAAATGCTGATTTAAATACAATTTGTTGGACTCAGCCGGGTGGCAGCAGTAGGGGTTTAACAGCGAAATCAAAGGAATTTTTAAAACCTTACTGTTCTTCTTTCTGTATCAGGGGCCTTCATCCTGGTGCTTCTCAGAAACAGCTCACTGTACCACGAGTGCCGGTTGGGCCCATGACTGCGCAGGTGTACAGCAAATCAGCACTACGCATGTCTCCAGGATCACAGGTCAGAAATAACACAGTGCTTATTCTGGCAGAGACCACATTCAGTGAGTAAACTATTGTCTTGTAGGTTACCATAATATTACATTCTGATTCCTCATGGAGTCAGTTTCTGATAATGTACCATCGATGACTAAAGTGTTAAAAAGATTCTCACCAGAATGAGCAGGCTGAGAGAACGAGCTTTCTCTCAGCCTTGGAGTTGGGATAAAATCAAAGGAAGGAAGGACGCTGGTATCATCCTGGGTGCATCCACAAGCCCTCTGTTCTTTATTTCCCCCCTCCCACGTATATTCTTAGAGTATGAAACCAAATATATGTTCTGCTTTAAGGTCCCAGTCCTGCAAATACCATATGCTTAACTGGGCTTCTGCAAGTAATGTGTTTAAATAAAATGGAACTGTATGTTGGAATAGCATGAGCACAGATATCAGTGTTTGTGGTGTCTGAGACTAAAAGTGGTTCTCTGTCTTGTTTTTCCATAAAAGATAAGGTAAATTGTGGGAAAGATTTCTGTTTCATGTATAAGGTAGTCACCTTTATAAGACATAAATAGTTTTCCATTTGCAGACAGTATTTCCAGGTAAATAGGCTTGAAGATATCAATGTTTCAACTCATAGGGGTTCTGAGGGAAATTAATAATTCACATAGTAATATTGTAATATTGTCCATAGTATGCTGTGCAAGAGTAGAAATGGAGCGTAAGTTGTGCTTATAGTAGTGAGGATAAAAAAAGGATGGAGTCAAGTAAGCACAGATGCTATTTTCACATATCCATTGCTAGAAGACTTGTCATACGGGAAATAGCTTGCCCACAGGTGTCAGAATAGGTTTAAAATTATTTACTCACACACAGAGTATTTGTGAATCATAGCAGCACACACATAAGACTCTGCAAATCCAGCTCACGGGGGGAATTGTGAAGCACTTCCCCCTTCCCCCTTTGCTCTATTTTGTAATTGGATTTCTTCTAACAAAGCCTGAGAACCATATAGATGGTTCTTCCTTGTGCAGTAACTGTAAAGCCTCTGAAAAGCCACTGTTGCCCGTAGCTGATAAGTGTAGAAGTTCAATTTTTGTTTTAGTTTTTTAAATATGCTGAACTGAAGCCAGCTGAGCTGATGCTTGTGCAGCTTTGGCGTTTGAGTGGGGGTTGATATTTTCTGTGACGTTCTGAATACACTCTCATCACAGACAGAATTAAAGATGTGACTGCAAAGATGTTTCTAGAGGGCTCTAAAATATGCAAATAACAAACAGCTAGACATGAAAAGTGGTTCACTTACCCATAATACAGATCACTTCGAAGATTAATATAATGTAGCCCATTCATAAAGGAATTTGACCCTATTAGAAGCCAGGTACCATGTTCATCTGCAAAACAGAATTACATAGTGAATCAGATTTATTGGCTTACTAATGGTAAAAATGCCCTCCACTCTGAAACAGCTTTTGCGCTGGAGTAAGGTTTGAACCCTTTCATTGTACCAAAGATGTCAACCTGTTGCGTATACTCCAATATGTTCTTTTTCTGCATCAAGATGGTTCAAAACATCTTAAATTTAAGACTTTGGATGATATGGATGGAAGAGACCCATGATACCATCCACTCCAAATCCTGCAAATGCAGAGTTGTCACTTGCCACACATTTCAGCTGACAAAGTAACTTTTATCAGGTGGTTTTTTATTAAGCATTTCAATTGTCGTTATCGTGTGTGGAATCTGCCACTGCAGCATTGATCAATGCACTCTCAGTCTGGGTGGGGAGTCTGTGTTGAGACTCATCTCCTATTTTAATTGAGAAGATATTCAATTTTCCTCCAATTCTTTCATAATAGCACAAGCAGTTTCCTTTCTGTACAGTGGTGTGTTATAGTAATAAAATAAATACCGCAAAATCACTGATGAGGTGAAAATTGAACTTTCTGTCTCTGTGCAGCCATGTGGGTAAGAGAGTAATTGGCTTGGATAATAACTTCTGTTCTTACAAACCCAAACCTAAATGAGCATCTCATTGATACATCTGCTTGTAATTACTATCAAAAGAAGAGACTATATTGTGCAGATAAATGAATTAAAACCATTTTTAGTGCTTCCCAATGGTTTCATAGTTCAAATACACATCTCATGATTCTTGAACTTTTTTGGCATGTTTTATTTGTCAAAAAATAAAATTCTCAAAATTTTTTTTTACATTCACACAGCAGAAGTATCGGAGTTCTTGTGTAGAAATATGTTGAGGTGGATCTTGCTATGTAAAAGAGCTTTTTGTATTCCTGTATTCATGTAATGGGAATTAAGCATAATCGCTATAAGGATTCCTCCTTATTTTGCACTGGTTGGTAAATAAACCCTGTTGGGTGCAGAGTCTTAACAGTGTTACTGCAATAAAAGTACTGGGAGATGCTGATAGACCAGATAGAAAACCAGGTGAAAACTAAAGCACATGCCTTGAGATGAACAACAACGTTTTCAACCTAAGAAATTTCTACTCTAGTACAAATACATGGCACCACTTCTGGCTTTTCTAGAACAAGTATTTGCTTTAGATACTTCTCATAAAAGGAAACTTTAAAAGTATTTTTTTGACCACTGGGCTTTGAATCAATAATTTTTATTAGCAAAAGATCTGAATCCATTCCATGCAGATAACACAGTACATTAGGAAACTACTATGTGTTCATTTTTATAAGGATTTTTTTATTTCCTCATTTACTTACAAGCAAGGGCTCTAGCTACATGGAGCCAATGGGCCATAACCAATCCAAAGAAGCTGTTCTGGTCCATCAGGTCAGTGACTCCTGAATTCAAGTCTCTTGCAAACATGGCCAAAGTGGATTGGATTCTTACTGTAATCTGTGGGAAGAATGCAATATAACATTATCCCAATAGATAGGGGGGTATAAAACATTTGTTATAACCCAGGGAGATGGAATTCACAAATGACCTATGTTAATCAAGTGAGTGCGACCTGATTGCCCTTTCCACTCAGAATTTAACTCAAAGAGTTGCAAATGTGAAGATTTCAGAGCTTTTAATGGAATGGCTTGAACCAATTTTGGCAAAACATATATGTGAATAGTAGTTGTATGCCTTGCTATTCAAAAGGCAGTTCTTGCTTGTCTGCCCAGTTCAGTGTGGATAGTAAAACAACATGAATTTTTGTCATAATTTGTGAACATGTTGGCTAATTCTTGCTTATAGACACTTCTGTCCTAGTGCAGTGCTTTTAAGACACTGCCTATCATGTATTTCAGCAGCAGGTGGAAATGAAGATTATGCTTCACCCAGAGAACACTGATAATAAAGCTGGTTTAAAACAACAGAACAATGAGATCAAGCTGCCACTTATAACTATGAAAAAATCTGCTCCTGTAAGTAACTCATTTTATCTTAAGGGCTTATTATATGTATTAGTTTTCACTATGAAGGGTAATACGTATCAGTTCTAAATAATTTTATTTTAAATGAAAATACCTCAGAACTTCCTACTTTTGGACACTGATATTTAGCACAGCACTGTGGTCCACATGAAAGAATATGCCCAATGGTCTCGCAATAGGATCCTCTTCTACAGTTTAATCTATGTAATAGAGGCATTATGAAGCAAGCCTAGTGCTGTAAGAGACGTTCTGGGGTGTTCGGTTTTAAAGAACATGAGCAGAACCTGTGAATGGCACAGCTGTAAGCTGCCACTTGTAAAAAGTGCTTTTTGAAAGCTGTTGCCCAGATGAAGAGGTGATTTGTCTAACCCTGTGATACAGAGTTAATTAGAAAAAGGCATCATGGCTAATAGCTGTTTAGAACCACTCTAAAACACTCACAGGGAGGAATATTATACTACTGCAGAGAGCCATGTGTTTCACTGCTCGCACTGAAAACATGCACGGATCAGAGAGAACTTCTTAATGCTGACTTGAATTACAAAGCTTTAGTGTGAATTAGTCAAGCTCTCTGATACATATTTACAGCTGCTAAGGAACTGTTCATGACAGGGAAAAACCAAGTACGTATTTCCTATCTAGTTTTTCCTACAGGGTTTACTGAAGTAAATGCTTTTTAGGAGTTTCCAAATTCCCTGACACAATCTGTGTTTTGAAATGTTCTGGCTTCACTGGGAGTAAAATTTTGCCATAAGACGTGCAAAATCCACTCCTGAGGTAGCGAATTAAGGCACTTGTGTTACATGTGAGCTATACTTGAGCTTAAAGGAATTATAGATCACCAGTAGTAACTGAAATAAATTGATGTGTCGTTGCAGGTCTAAAATATGGGGTTTACTTTGAAAAAACCCATCGATTAAAGTACCCACAAGAATTAACTGGGCACTTCCTCCCCTCGTTTTACTCATCAGCCATTAGAGGGCAATATTTGTACGCACACACATACACCCGTGTACATGCCCTACATATGTACATTAGTTCAAAGATTGCAAAAGAAATCAGTGGCAGAAGGAGACTCATTGAAGTAAATTAAAATCTAATTGCCTGGTTACCTGCATTCAGGGTGCTTCCAGGAGTTGTCAGCATCTGGGTTTTTGAGGAGACCTGAGCATTTGGAAATGTGATGAGACTAAAAGCACACTGGTTGTGAGGTGACCAGATAGGTCAGCACAAATCTACATGGACTTCTTATTATTCTGCTGTTTGAGTAGGTGGAAAAACTATTAGTAAGGATCTTATTGTTTAATGAAAAATGTCTTTTCTTGCTCTTTTGGTATTATAAAGTTGCTGATGCTGGATTTTATGATAGAAACTAAGAATAATTATCTGTTGCCCTTTGGTACCTTTTTGGGTCTGATAAGCACTAATGCTTTATCCTCTGGAAAGTTCTGTAGTTACTTTAAAGTGAGGACCCTAATTCTGTTTGAAACACCGGGTGCAGACTGGGCATCACTTTTATTTTGTACCTCATATCTGGGAAACCTACGAAAAATGATGAATAATGATTAAATATATGTACTTCCTGTGGAGTATACAATGGGAAAACAGATAGTAATCTGAATTGCCACAAAACTAATCCTGATGTACTGCTGCAGTGTAGAAAGGATTCACAACTACACCTTTCATTTTCCTAGGACTGCTGTTCTCTTACAGAATTACACTGACACTTTCCTGGTCCTTGTTTTCCTACAGATGTATATTATACTGTAAACTTAGGAACCTTTTAATTCATTGATGAGGTAAAATTTACTATGGTGATGATTTCTAGCCTTTATGAGTTGCATCTTACATAGTGTGGTGGCTCTAATGGTGATGGCAGTGGTTCTGTGTTGGGGAGGGTTTAAGCTAAATTACCTGAGCACCACCATTCTGATCATATCCTCTGTTATTCATTCCTTATTCAGTATTTGCACAGAGCTAATAACTAATGCTTATCACCGAATGTCTATTAATTTCCAAAATGATAAAGTAAGGTGAAGCAGGGCAATTATTTTCATTTCAAGTGACTAGGAGAAGCTGTAGAAAAAAACCTCAGTTATTTTGGTCCTGCAAACCTGATTGTGTTTTAAACCTATGCATGTGGCTATAATTACAGTCCCAGCATAATTTGGCAGTGGTAGCAGAATGAGACTTAAACAAATCGCTGTTACACTACAGTAAATCAAAAGATGCTTGTTGCATGTGTATTATGGTATGTAATCATAATGAAAGCACAGAGAATTAATAAAATCTTCTTGTCACTAAAAAATAAAAAGGAAATAATTGTTGAGAGAGATTTAACTTAACAGATGACTCCAGTCAGCATCCTTTCAACCTAGAAATGGGAATGTGAAGGTCACCCCCATCTCAGATGACAAACGTAGAACATTTTGTTGGTAAACAAATTAATCTTTGGAAAGGTCACCATTTGTTTTAAGTTTTTATCCAGTTCTTGTCATCTGGAATTGGAGATTGACTGTCACTGTGCTAGGTAGGGGTGCAGCTGAAGCTGGTTCTGTACATATCAGCATTCCTTGACAAAACTCCGTGCCTGATTGGGATGCTATGGGCTGCTGGTTTACAGCTGTCTCCGGACAAGAATGGAGGCCCACCCCTGAATTCCAATAAGTTGGTCCTGCAATATTCTGCCTCGTGTAAGCTGGCCCTTTGCCCACAAGTAAAACATACTGTGGTTCAAGCCAGCAATTATCTTTCTTACTTCCTTCTGTGCTGCTTCTGTCGCCTGTTTCAAAAAGCAGATGTGGGATTCACCCAAGTTCTCCATCTATTCTCTCTGCACCTGTTATGGCATAACTTGGACAGAGGTAAATGTCTAGGAGAGCTAGAAGTAGGCCATAAGAGGAACAAAGCTTGATTTTTCCATGTACATAGAAAATAATTAGTTCAGAGCCGTCTCTGGTTACTTTGAGCTTAAAGTAGGTAAGAGTAACATACAAGATCTGCTGTTAAAGATGCCCAATTGCTCCATATTGAAGGTTTAACGTTGGGCTTTTCACTTCAATTGGACTTTTTCCTGTACATAAACAAAATCTGAAGGGAAATAATGTACATTAATATCTTAGTATTACATCTAAAGGAAATAGCATTAATCATCTTGAATAAAAAAACAGCCAGTCATAAAAATGGTTCCTATTTTAAATCTCATAACAGAGACTTAGAAATTTTACTCATCTGACATTAGAGTAGTTCCACTGACACCAGTGAGAATTTGTCTTTTTAGTTCTCAGTGTTTCTGCACTTAATTCCACGTGCCGGTTCTTGGACTTGGAGGACCCAAATCTGGTTATTTGAAACCAGAGTTAAACAGTTTCTTTATTTATCATTTATTGCTACTGCCTTGATTATCAGAACAAGATTCTTCTCCCCTTTTTCCCAATAGAGCTGATAGATGATGGAAGTGAGTGAAACTATTTTTTGATGCTGCTTCCCTGCTTGGCTGCTCAGGGTGTAAATCAACACAGAAAAAGTACATCCATTTAGGCTGTAAGGCTGTGAAACTATAAAATGCAAAGAAATCCTATAGCAGTTCATATCTGGTCAAAACCAAAGCTGACCTGGTCTATTGTGGGTAGTAGACTCAAGATTTGACTTGATGTTCTACAGAGATCCCTTCTAACCAACATTTCTGTGTCTATGATTCTGGGATTGAGAGCAAAGAGCGATCACTTGGCACCTCTGCCTTTACTCCACTGGAGTTTTTTACAATCTGAACTGATTTTCTCCCATTGCTTGAAGCTCTTTTTTATTTACTTACTTACCAAATCTCATCTATTTAATATTCCTGGTTGATAAACTGTATTTTTGGTACAAGATAGTGCTCATCTTTTGTCTGTATTTAATACTACTTTCTTATTCTTTTACTGGGGGAAAAGAGCACATGATAAATGTGTCTAAAAAAGGAAGTTGTTCTAGGTAAATATTGAGGGGTAAAAGGAAAACAAATAGAGAACTAATCAGAAAACCCCTGTGGTCTTACAAGTGCCCTGTTTAAAACGAAGCAAAAAGAAAAAAATCAAGTGGGAGAGGTTTATCCACAGGAGAAAACCCCTTTAGAAGGGTAATAGAATTGTTTTTCTCCTGTCCCAGGTTAATTGCACTCAGAAGTGCTTGAAATGGAAAAAATAGTTTTTCCACACACCCCAAGCATGTTTCAAGGCAAAGAAGCCTCAGTCTGCACTGCAGTGAAGGGCTCCCTCCCAGCCCTATAAAACTGTACTATAAAAGTGCCCGTGATGAAGCAGTACTCTGTGTGCTGACTTCAAGGAAAGCATTCTTGCTGAGTCATAATCTTCATGACAAACTTCCCTAGAAGACATTATTCATGAAGGAAAATGTCCAAGATTCCCATTCCCATCAGCAGTAATGGTTGCTTGGGGTCTGCCAGAGAGGAAGTGGGTGAGGCGCCTACAGGTTAGTGCTGGATGGGGTGCAATCCTTTGCTTCTGTGTAGTTTGGGTCTCACTACAAGCATAAAAATGCTAACTAGGACCTGCTACTTCTGGAATATCTAGTATTAAATTCACTACATTTTGCGTTTATGCATAAAAGCTGTAGGTGTGAGTAAAGGTTTTGAATTGCACTGACATAAGCAGATGGAAGTCTATTCAAAACCTTTTAAAAAGATGCAATCTTTTTAAGTTAAATCACTGAATAGTAGTAACAAGAATGTACAATGATGCTAAAAGTAAACCTTTTTTCTTGCAGTTCTCAGTATTATTTTTATTAGTAGTAATCAAATCGGCTTAATTTTAGTGAAAGTACCTAAAAGATGAAAGCAGTTTGTCAAGTTTTACTTTGCTCTCTCACTGAAGGCTTCAAGAGAGCACCCAATGCACCAAATAGGATGTGGAAAGACCACGGAAGAGGGCGTACAGGTTGGGTGGGATTTTCTTAGGTAACAGTGAAGCTACAGAGCTGCCCCAGAACAGTGTTGTCTGTCTTATGCAGTGAACCACAGTGGCACACTCCTTGCCATGGACTTTATAGAAATTAAAGGATACAGCAAAGAAGAATTAAATACCCATCTCCAGTTAAAGCCAGAAGCCTCTAGGCTACTTCTGAACTCATACACTCCACCTGAATTGCTTTTCTTGGTAGCTTATTACATCTCAATGAGCACAAATCAAATATGTATGTTTCATAGCATGGTTTGTCATAACAAAACTCCTAGGATTTAAACTAGGATAAAACTGACCAGTAGTAAAATCAGTGCTGCTTTACCCATAGCAACAGCCTGGAAAAGGAGTCACTGTTTAATTAAATTTGTCTCATTTTATATATTTTTGTTGCGCCCACAACAAACTGCTGGGGCTGGGAGTGAGTGGAAAAGTGTGCTTTATTATTCTCTTTCCTCAGTATCAAGCCACTTACATGCCAGCTGGTGTAAAGTTAATCTTTGTTCTATGCTTATTGCTGTTTTCTTGGAACACAAGGACATGAAGATTCATACGTCTGGATCCCTTAAAGCATAATGCTTTGTAATGGCCATAACTAAAATGAGTGCCTATGATTTCTCTGAAAGATTCTCTATTATCATAAAGCAAACCTATTTTCTATCTCCATAATGTTTCTTGTGGACAGTGTTATTATACAAATTGGAAGGAAAAATTAGAATAGTTTATTTTGATCTATCTCATTTCACTATTAGGATTATAAGCAGTTCCTTAGAACTGTCTGCCCCTTTCTCTAAAGCTGGCGGTTATGTTAGTCACTAATTGTAACACAGTGCTCAAAGTTCTAGTCTGTTGTACTAAAAGCTGTACACAGCATGATAATCAGTCATTAAAACCTAGTGTTTTAAACCAGCATGTCCCAATGTGCTCTGTGAAAGAGGTAAATAACATTATTCCCATTTTGCAGCTCTAACAGTATTTCCTAGCTCTCTGCTTTTGTGTATTTAATACTATTTTAAGGTAGTTTATCATTCATAATGAAATAGTATTTTAAAAAGCAACTAAAAAATTTTCCCAGCACAAGGCATTGTGTTTTCTTCCCCACAGCCCATCAGCAGGATTCAGACATTTCTATCCAGTGTGAGAATTTCTAACCATTAGGGTAATGGAATAACTGGTAACAGGTTGTCACCCACAAAAGCATGGGATGTGGTACTTAGGATATTGGAAATAGAGGCAAAAATGACAGATGGTAATACAGTGTTTGTATTTCTAGTACTGAAGGGTAAGGAGGCGATACATTCTTTTCCCTGTGCAATGCTCTATGTGTGTAACAGTGAGACACATGGTATCGCTGTCCCAAAGTGATGTGTGTCACCACTTGAATTCCTGGCACTTAGAAGCAGCAGGTTCTGTTTTTTCAGGCAAGCACAGGTTAATTGGGGAAGTGAAGGAGCCTCAATCCCGCATTAGCACAGCCAGCGTGGCACGTTATCAGGGTGTGTCATCCCCTGCTGGCCTTGAGGAACCCTGGAACTTCAGCAGTCTGTGATACTGTTACCTATTTGTGAGTAGTTCCACATACTGTAATTCCACTAATATTCCTTCCAGAGAAAAGTTATTTACATATTTGAAAGTACTTCCTTTTCTTTTGGTACCTTGTCTGTGTGTGCATTATGGATATATGCATACAATGTATTATTGCAGAAGTAGAAAAGCCTGTCTTTGCAAATCCTGGGTTTCTCTGTTAAAAGATTTTGTCTCTTCCTAGACATGCAGTCAGAAGATTGTGAAGGGTCATGCAGGTAGCAGCCTATGGGGTTTGCCTGCCTTTCATTACATGGATTCTCCCTTACCCCCGTTAGAAGAAGATCTAAGAAAAGGTGAGTCACAGATGCCCACCTGGGTACCATTACCTCCAGAGTTATGCTGTGTAGGCCGTGTTTGCTGTTTGCAGCAGTTATCTGGTAATCAAATTTTCTGGCACCTCAAAACTTGTAAGAATTGTGATCTCAAACACTGCAAAGGGTAGAGATCAACTTCACACTACTTAATCCATGTGGTGGCTAATTTAGGATGCAGCGTATGTTATGCTGAGCATCAGTCACCCTCCTTGAGTCAGTTATCTTGTAATTCACAGAGTTCAGTTGCTACTGGAAAGAAGAATTGTGTGTGATGGAGGGTTCTTGTATGACTAAACATGGTCAGGATAAACAATTATCATGAATGTCTGGTTACGAATCACCCAATCTCAACCAGCCCTGCACTTGGACTGTTTTAGCAACCAGTCCACCTTTACTGTGGTTTACAAAAGTTAATTCTCACCCATTCTGCTTATTAAATTGCCACTGTACAAAGCATATGATTTCTTCTTAGAATCAGCACCATTACAGTATCTTTCATGTATTTTATAGGCAAAGCTCACCGTCCTTGAAAGTAAAATACTGAATATTGAAAGATGAATTTTTCAGTAACAGAAACTGCTGCTTTTCTAGTTCTGATTTGGAATTGCAATAACTTCGGTCTGCCTTTGTTGAATTCCTTCTTTATTGCTACTAATTCTTTCACAGCTGGAACATATATGAATTGTTCAATAATGTCATCTTCTTGTAGGTGTTCCGAGCCTAACTGAACAAAGGCTTATCCATCCAGCAGCAAAGATAATTCTCCAGATACCTCCTGTTGTATCCAGAGCAGCACCTTTCCATGAATTTCACAGGCAGCACAAGGAATCAGCTGTAGGTGGGTACAAAGGATTGATAACAACCATCAACTGCACCTGCAGCTTCACTTTCAGGCCCCTCTTCTATCTCACAAGGAAACAGCTGTCTAATGAGTCAAATTCTTAGGAGTACTAAGTACGTGAGCACCCTGTGTCTTGCAACTGAATGGGAATCAGATTTCTTTGTTCATTTCTGAAATCCTGGTAGGTTCCTACCTGCATGTTCCAAATTCTAAGCACCTGAATCTGAAGATCTGACTGGTGGTGTTAGTGTAAAACCAGTGTGATTCATGACTTACAACAGCTATCAAGTGTCTGTTTTGGCAGTGTGGTTAAATGAATGACTCCTAGGAAGTGAATATTCTCTGGGCGATATGATTCTGACCTATCACAAAGTGTACTCTAAATGTATTGCTACAGCTGCTTGTGGCATGTATGGCAAGGAATGTAAGCAAAACAAGCTGCAGGTTTAGTAGCCATCATGTAAATTCAAAAGGTCCTCCTCATGAAAACTAAAATTATATATGGATTAACCTGGAGTGTGAGTGCTGACATTTTGCCATTGCTACCCTGGCTGTGCTGTTGGCTAGCATATTTCAAGCTTTAGATTATTACAGAATGAAACTGAAAATTGCAACCCAATGGGACATGAAAGCAAACTGGAGTGAGCCAGTACCTAATGGTAGGTGGAGGAGTATCAACTTGGTGCTGTTGTTGCCCTTCTAACAATGAAACCTGGAATCATGGTTTTTTTCCTTTGGTACAGGTGACATTAGTAGTAGGGCGGATGCTGAGAATAGAGACACCATCACCTTCCCAAACTCAAAGCAAGCAGTTTATGACACAGACTCCTCTAGTAAAGGTAACATTGCACGACGTCCATCCAGCAGCTCCAAGGTTTCAGCAAAGAAATCAAAGCGAGTGTGGACGTATCCAGCTCAGCAGTTGGAACCCAAGCTGCAGACTGCCCCTCAGACACAGGTATCTGGACAGTGAGGATGATGAGGCTTTTGTTCACGTTTTTAATACTGACTTCTTCACCAGGGATGGTTTAGAAAGTGACTGAAAATCACTGAATTGGTACAGGACTGTTTCAACCAAATCCAGTGAATATTGACGTAAAATAGGAAATACTTCTTCTATCACCAGTTTCTACGTTGTCAAGTCTTCTACCAGCATTTGTCTGTTTTTTCACAGACTCTTAGAAAATAAGTCTCAAAAGGATGTTAGGAGGTTATCCAGACCTCCAGGCAGAATTACCTGTATCTGTAATATAGCAGACAGATGTTTTTCTAACCTGTTCTGAAAACTTTCGGTGATAGCAACTCCACAGTCTCCCTAGGCCATCTGTTCCACTGCTTAACTAACTGTCTTTACTGTTATAAAAGAGTTTTTTAATGTCTCATCTAAATCTCCCCCACTGCAGTTAAGCAAATGTAGTGTTTCCCTTTATATTTATAGAAGACTATAGGGGAGTTTGACCTTGACTGCTTAATGCCTGCTGATTGTTCTTGATCCCCATGCAAAAGGGACATTTCTTTCTTTTTATGCCTAATTACTGTGTGCCATAGTAAGCTGTCTGGAGTTTTGCTTGATCTTTCTAGACTTTGACTTCTGTGTTATTGAGGAGAGCTGAAAATCAAAGAGAAAGCAAACTTGAGAAATGGAGATGCACGAGTTATTAATGTAAATAAAAATAATTACCTGAAAATGGTGCACATAGATGGAAAATCAGAGCTAATGCATTGCTGGTTGAAGTTGTCAGTTAACACAAAGTTGTGTTAAGAGGCAGAAACATTTCTGTTCCAATTTTGACCCTTGGCGTTTATGTTGGCATGATGTCGCCCATTCTTCTGGGACAGGCAGAGGCAGTCTCAGTGGACTAAAGCTATTGCAGATACTTTCTGATTGTAGTTAGTGAATCACTGTAGAGCTTGGTTTTTATATTGGGTAAATCAGGCACAGTTCTTATGTGCAATTATTGTATTTCTGTAAAAATGCTCTTCCTCTTATATGATCTCTGAGGTCTGTGTGTGGCAGTGGGTTTTATGATAAAGCTGGGCTACACTTTGTGGTTATGATGCATAAATTAACATGAGTGTGTTTCAGATCCTTAAATTCCCACAGTTAAGTCATAAATAGTAATCCAGTTGTGTGCTTTGACCACTCATTTACAATCAGTGGCAATTCCTCTTAATCTGTGGCTGTTCTCTTCCCACAGCTCCCACAGACATCTCCATGTCAGCCCTTACAGAATCCGTGCTTTGATTGCGACATGGCTGTTTACCACGGCATGATAGACCAGACAGCTCCAGGCTTTCTGGCATTCAAGCAACATTATTGTCTATCTTGGGGGAGCATTGCCTCTTTTTTGGAGCACACAGGAAAGCTTCTCCAGGACTATGCTGTACCATTGGCTACAATAAACTGTAAAAAGTTGGCAGAAGTTGCATCAGACTTTGAGCGTGATGAGAAACCCAGCAAAAATGACATTCTGTCAGTGATAAAGAATCAATCAACTGTGGAAAAGATCTTAAATCGACCTGGCCAAAGACACAAAGGCCACGGGGGTACTGAAATGGCCGCTATCAAGATCCAAGCAACATGGCGATGCTACCAGGCCAGAAAGGCCTACATCCATCTCCGGCAGCAGCAGTGGGCATCAGGTGTGATCGGCTCTTCGTGGCGCTCGTGTAATCACATGGCACGTGTGAAAAAGAGCCTGAAGGAATCACGTCAGAGACACCTGGAGAGCTTTCACATCAGGGCCAAGGTGTGCAGTGCTACCAGCTGTTACGGCAGCGCTGCTTCTCTAAACATCTCTTGCTTCAGCGATTGCAATAAGCTGTTCCCATTTTTTCCCCCTTTAACCATACACTCGTCCGAGTATCATATTTCATCCTTCATCAGCAATTCAGCCTTTGTGGCTGCAAAAATCTGTTGCAGTGTTTCTCCTGAAAACGTTCCTTTGCTTTTGACTTCAGTAGTTCTGTCAGAAAATCAATGTTTTAACTGCGTTACCTCGGTTCCTTATATATATACCTTGTGGCACTTAATTTGCTGGGAAAAAAAGCCCTCTCTCGTCTCCATTCCTGTCACCACTTTGTCAGAAAGTATTTAAGTTTGCAGCCAGGCTCTTAATTAGTGCTCACAATTTCATTTATGTTTGCTTGCTTTTTTTTCATTCATATTCTGTTAATTAAGTGAGCAGCCTCTAATCTTCCCCTGCCAGTAGCTTCATGTAGCCACCTAATTAAATTAATTGGGGAAGATGTTTTAAGTATGTAATTAAATCAATTAATATAATTTATGCCTGGCTTAACTGTACAGTGGAAAAACCAGCTGAAGTTTGACTAGATGAATCCACTACAGCTCCCTGTCACTGATCAATGCTCTTCTTGATTTTTAGCATCTGGCAGCCAACTGGAATCGCATCAGGACCTCCAGGAGGACTATTATCCATATCCCATCATTAGGTATAACACTTTTGCCTGCAAATCTATCAGCAACCTCTATTACCCACCACATTATGACTCCTTGATTGAGTTCAAGGAAGGCCCCTTGTTTTATTCAAATTGGTCTCGGCAGGAAAATGTTCTCGACATGATGAGAGTAATAACACAGGGCCCTCGCTCGAAACGGCGTTTAATTTGGGGATTAAGCAAATAAAGTCATTATGTGGGGGCCGCTATTCAGTGGAGAGGTGATTTGCTGTAATTTGCTTTCATCTGTATGAAATGAACTAAAAAGTTGTATTTTTCCCCCTGAAATAACAGATAATGTTTTCGGTCTTCTTTAATGATAGTAAAACATGGGCCTGCGTGTGTTGTTGCTGTTACAGCAATAAGCCAGGATATTGCTTGTACACTGTTTTTAATCAAATGTGCAGTCAAAATGATAAGCTACATTCTCTGAAATTATTTAGTTCTAATTACGAGCAGATGGGATGCTTTATTTGCACCTAGGGCGCCTGAGCAAAAGGAAATGCTGTGTGAACAAGAATAATTAAGAAGTTGAATAGTGTTTTTTGCGCTTAAATAATCTGCAGTTTCATGTTAATTAGCACTAATGTAATTATTTAATTACATTTATGAATTGGGGAGCTTAAAAGCTGTTTTCTGCAACACGATGGCCAAGTGTAGGTGTTTGGAAATTAGAGAATAGGATTTCTTGGGAATCTCTTAAACCATGAAATCCTGTCAAACAGCTTGTCATTGGCTTTATAATTTGTACTTACACAGCAAATGGATTGACCTGAAAGATTCAGGAGTTTGTGAAGTGAATTGGTTAAGACCTGAATTAATGAAGACTGTAAATAAGTTTTAAGCTCTTTTTTTGAAGCCTCAATCATGATTCTGCTGCTGTGTAACATCAATATACATTTGATGAACAACTGGTTTTAATTACACCTCCACCTTAAAGTCTGAGGTGAAAATGGTGGGTTAAATTCCATGCCTGAATCCTATCTGAAAGCAGGATCTCTTAAAAATAATTTATACATTCCAGTGTTGTAAACTGGGTAGAATGTGAAGGCAAGTATTTATATAGGGAAAAGCAATTATTAATTAGGGGTGTGAATTCAGAAGTCAGCAGTTGTTGCACAACAGATGCTTTCAAAGGAGTAGTAAAGAAAAACAATCTCAGTATAATCAAAACAGGCTAAAACCCACATCAGGATGTCCCTGTTTCTCTGATGGATTTGTAGCATGCAGTGGAATTTATAAAAGTTCTTAAATTATTTCAGCCTCTTAAGTAAAGTGTAAAACTCCAGGGACATTCTGCTTCATTGAGCACTTCACCTGAGCTCAGGCCCTGGTTCTGTAAGAGCTTTGTACAACCTTCTGCTGTAAATACAGGAATTTGGATGTGCCTGTGCAGGAGGCTGCAGTATTAGAGTGGAAATTGTCCCTTAATGAGGAAGCAAGGAAGCAGTGAAGATCATTTGAGTGCAGATGTTTTCTTAGATGATTAGGAAACCTGTTTAAGTAGGGCACTGGAAAAAAATACATTGTGCCCTCCAAAAGGGGGATCTGAAAGGGATGTTTGGAGAAATTATTCATGGTTGTTTTTATTAAATGCACTGACTGTATCAGGAGCTCTGGTAGAGTTCCACAGGCTTTTTACATGACTTACATCATGATCAGAATTTAGCTGCTTAAAATGTGATGGAGATACGTGGCTTTTTTTTCTTTTGAAACGTTCAGATTGAACTGGTTTGGAGAAACAGGCACATAAAATGACTGAGCAGGTGGCCTAATCTGGGTTTATATAATTTTAAGCCCATCTTGTAATTAAAATTTGAAGATATGAAAACAAAGTCTGTCAACAAGAAACCTTTTAAGATTATTTCTCCTCTTATATTTTAGTGTTTGAATTATTCTGCTCCTACACATTTGGCATTTTAAAAAGCATCTGTAAAATTTGGGGTCCACTACTGGCCCCCTTCCAGCTTGTGACATGGTGCAGTTTGTTCACAGGCCTTTTCCAGTTATGCTTTTGATCTGCTGTGGCTTGTATATCATTGTTTTGAAAAAGAACTGCTCAATGCAAGGAAAGGAATATTTAAGCTTCTGCCTTTAATAAGCATTGTCAGAGGAGCAGCCATGTAGATACAGAGCGTTTAGAATGCATCAGGTGTGAGGATTAATGTGGTTCATAAAGCCCCTTGGAAGATGAAGAATTCACAAGGAGTGAATATTCTTCTCATTAAATCTAATGGGGTCATGTCAATGGAAGCTAATATATTGTGAATTAATATGTTTTATTAACCTGTGAAAGAAGAGTACATGTGGTAGTTGGTGTGATGCTGTTGTGGTTTATGCTATAGCCTATCTGCAGAACCACAGCAACATGCAAGTTTTAACTTCTCATTGCTACTTTAACCATTATTCCTTTCTAATAATGACTGATTTTCCAAGTACTATTTGCATGTTATTTTTCTGTCCAGACTTATTTCTTAAAACCAAATGTGTTTTCAAGAAGGCAATTTAGTGCAGGGAAATCAGCTACACTCTATGTTTGCAATTGGAAGGCAGCATTGTTAGTGGCTTAAAACTGGTCTCCACCTGAGAGAGCAAAATGAAGCCTTGAGAGTACAGTTTAACTAATGAAAGCAAGCTTTTTCATATTACTGTAGCTTAATATTAAAGTGGGAAAAGATCTGCAGGTGCCTGGTGCCATTGTGCTAACTACTGTAAGTTTTACGAGAAATTACTAAAACTGAAACTGGTGATTTCCATTCCTCTATATTTTATTATGTTCTTGTGTGTGAAGTGTCATTGCCACAGCACCTCAGAATGCTGATTACTCGAAGAATTGTCCTTGTAATTTGCCTGTAGGATCCACTATTATTGTCTTCCAAAATGAAAGCACTGAAATACTGAGCACATTATGCCCAAACTGAGATTTTTATACATTTCAGGTGATTGGTAGTGTGTGGATATATGGAAATGTAAGGATCTTGTTACTGGATTAGTCAAGATTTTATGCCAAATGTGACATGTTAAGCTTAACCTCCTTATTAATTCAATCATAGCTATCGCATCTATGAACTCTCACTCTGTGTGCTCATACACAGAGATTTATTTAGAATTAGCTGAATTTAAGAATTACAAGATTAGAGGTTATAGTTACATGTCATTTACTGCTGTCTTTGAATGCGAGTGTGCAGTCAGTTGGAGTCTGACCTCCAGATAGATAATCCAAGCTCAGACAGGCTGCCACTCACTCATCCTCTGCAACAAAGTGATCAGGTATAGCTCAGACATCTCCTTAATGAAGTGGGTTTGTTGCCTTTTATGTGTGTGAAGGACAAAATGTACCAGGATTCTTCCTTAATGATGGTGTCGGGTTTTTCGGTGTTATAAAACCCAGCAGTAAAGACGACTCAAAATGCTCAGTCTGCATGTTTGAAATACAAAGCTCTATAGGTCTAACATTTAGGTTTGTATTTAATATCTCATTACACAGAAATGGAATGTTACATCAGTTCACTAATACAAGTAAATTCGTAAAGATGATGCATTTAGTGCTATGCCACGTTTGACAGCTTTTTTTAATGCAAAGTCTGATTTCTTTCTGATACTGACAGTTTTCTGAATACAGTTGGGGGGTGGGGGGGGGTGGTGTTTCCTTTTTTTCCAGGATATTCCCAAGGCATCCGTGAGCATATTCCTGACCTTGCTCTCCAGCAGAACATGCAGATGGGAAGGCTGTGTGACATACTGGGTATGTTCTGAGCTGCTGGCTGCCTATTTTTTGCTCATTATTTGCCCATAATAAGTAAAAGAGAACGACTGGTGAGGATTTGTGTATTAATGGTAAATATAGAGAACATATAAGCTTGGAAGCAATTTATCTGCTATGGCATTTGCTCCTGACCATGTTATTCATAAGAAAAACACGCTGATTCTTCGCAGCTCCATGCTAAGGTAAAGCAGCCTCATCCTGTGGCATGCTGAGCACCACAAAAGTGTTTAGTGTTCTACAAAATTAGGTAGCTAATTCTGCTGGTGTTCACTCAGGCTCATATGGAGAGAAAGATGTGCTAGGAAAGAGCAAGGCCTTATTTAAACTGATGTTTTTTAAATTAGCAAAAGAGGCAGAAGACATGCATTTAAAAGAGGATTTTTTTGCTAGAATAACAGTCCTCTCTTAAGCAAAGCAGTAAGGAATATGATTTGTCAGTGACTAGCCTCACTGGCTCCCTGGAATGACATACTTCATGATACTTCACATGATCCATGTATATTTCAGTATCATTATTATTTTATAAATGCCATTTAGTAAGTTTGTAACCAAAATATATTGGATCCAGAAATTTACAGTTGCCTAAAATAATAATGTAATTGCCTTTATATATTATCTAGGCACTAATATTGGTTTTCCACAGTACAGTTTTATTTTTTTAACAGATTTTTTTGGGTGCTCTAAAATGAGGGTTAGAAACTTAAAGGGACGAAGTGAACAGATTAACCAGGGGTTTTCTCACTTTAGGATCTGTCAACCTGAAAACTAGTGTAAAATGTAGAATAGACCATGAGTAAGATACAAGCTAGTCAAATATTAAGTAAATTATTACCTAGACCAGCTGCTTTACCTCTGCCTGGCAGAAGAGCATTGAGATTTACCGTACTGGTTTTCTTGTTTTGAGAATCCCAAAGGATTTCCTTGCTTGTCGTGACCTCCCATGAGTTAATCTGTCTCTGGATCTCCACTGTGTCCAAAGGAGACTTGTATTATCTCTTTACAGGGCAGTGCTAAGAGCAGTAAAATGCACTGCAGTGTTTCATTCAACAGATTCACTTAAGGTTGTCCATTGTTGACAGTGTGGTCCAGCTTTACAGCTGACACAAGCAAAGTCTTTTTGTACCCAAGCTGGTGAATTCTGAGGCTCATTTTTTGCAAATCTGAGTAAATGCCTAAAAGCAACAGAGTACTAACAGTTCTAGTGAACTGTCCTTTTAATAATGTTTAAGAAGTTATATAGTAATGAAGTGTATTATATAAAGGCTTTGTGGGGGCTTCAAATACACGGCTGCTTGTCGGGTGCTGTACTCCTTCAGTGCTTCACTTCAGATTCCAGCCTTACATTTTACTGGGGGTTGTTTGCCTGCAGCAGTGTGGCAAAACAAACTGAATGGATGGAATATCTTATTCCTTTATAACGTTAGGCTCTGGGTTTTCTTAGTCTGACACTTGCTTTGCTTCTGATTCACTCATGTGGAATAGCAGTTATCCCTGGCACTTCCCAGGCTCTTGTTCCTGTGCCCAGGAAAGACAATGAAAGACTTCCTACTGATTTCAGCAGGAGTTGGATCACAATCTAGGAGTGCTTCTTGGCACTGTGTTCTATTGATGTTGCAAGGCCTGTTAATTCATTAGCTCATCTATTAACATTAATATTTTAGAAGAGTAGAGTAGTTAAGATTTTCCAAACATGTATTAAAGACTTCCACTTTCTCACCTCTGAGTGTTTGCATATACACTGTCTTTCAGCCCATGTTGTTTTGCATACAGAAAAGCAGATTTCCACACTGTGGTATTTAAGTAGCTAATCTGCACACTCACATGCTCCACAGTAGTTATCAATGGTGTCCTACCGTGAGCTTTTATATGGACAGGACAAGAATGGGAACAGGCCATGAAAAATCCAGGAAGCACAAAACCTGCAATTTCATCAGCTTTCTAAACCAAATAGCTCAGTTTTATAATTTACTGAAGCTAATGGGATATATTTTTTAAAGAAGTGCTGCAATCCCCATTGATGTTAATGGGAGTCACGCATAGAAATCCCCCTGCAACGCTTCCAAATTCTGCCCCCAATATGTTCTGCAGATTGAATTTTGAAACCCAACTATTTCTTTGGGTTGCTAACCTGTCTTCAGAGAAATGCTGAAGTACAAAAAAAGCAGTTAAACCACTAAGATCTGGGAATTGCAGATCTCTGTTTTATTTCCAGCACTCTTTTCAGGAAGCGGTTTGTTCACAAGCGACCGGGAATTAGCGGATTGCTCCTCTGAATGGAATCTACCTTCCTTCCAGTAATGAACATTGTGCCCCTTTGTTTTAGATGCCAACGTGGACGTCATCTACATCTGCCCCCTTCATCTGAGTGAGGAGTTACTGCAGTATTACAATAAACTCCTGGGTCTGCAGGCAGCTGTTAGATCTGGGAACCCCGAGGCCATGGGTGACCTGCAGGACAGGTTCAGGATTCTCACCCCTGAAGCTATAAACAGCTTCCCTGTGAGTTTGTCTTCTAATTACTACAGCTTGAGGGATGCAGTAAAATTAAATTGGAAATTTTATAACTTGTAACGCTCTGGTACACATCAGTGAAATATTATTGCAAGTTTAAGGGCTTTACTGATTAGACTACTAGTTAGAGCATCGGAAATAAATATCCTGGTTTAGCTTTATGGACTTAGTTGAGATAGTCTTATATTGGCTATTTGTAGAGCACTGTCCCTTCTTACTATATGCTTGGGCCTGGGAACTTGATAGATTTATATCTCTAAGCAAATCGTAGCAATAAACCATACTTATTACTCCAACTTTTATCTCTGGGCAGCCCAGCATTCAATCAGTCAAATCTGGAGTGTTTCTTACAAATCCAATGCAGAACTTGCTAAAAAGCACAACTTAAAAACAACTTAATATAGAAATACTAGTTCTGAACCTGTGAAATCAGTTTAAAAGCCAGGTGATAAAACATGGTCTAAAAAGAGACCTTAATTAATGCACACTGTGAACAGTGTTTCTGAGGATACTGTAAGCAGTGAACACTCCTTACAGTGAAGAGTAATTTTATAAGTATTATGGGGTCTCAGCTGAGATTTGGGTTTTATCAAACTTCGTGCTATGCTTCCATCTCTACGGTCTGTGCTTGAAACCCTGCTCCTGGTTTTGACATATATTAATAATCCTCTTCTAGTCATGTTGTTGAGCAAGTATGTGTTATGCCGTATGGAGATTGAAAGCAATGGCTTCAGAAGAGAAAGAAGCTTTTTATATTTCGTAAGTGCATTGCTTGACACTAGCACACTGTTCAGCAAGACACTTGCTCTATGTATGAATCCTCTTCTGCTGAAGTAGTCCGAAAACACTGAAGTGAGAGAAGTGCTGAGTGCTCTTGCTGTGCAGGGGGGGACCTGTGAGTCAGAGCTGCCTGATAGCTTTGCCCCAGTTAGAATGAAATCTGTAGGCATTAATGTTTTCTGTTTGCTCTTAAGTCGGAGAAAAGCATCAAGGTGATATCTGTGGGTTTAGGAGCTGGCTTCAGTATTCTTCTTTTACCTGATACTGGACACCTATAAGAATCAGAGATGCCTGTGCTGGGCCTTCACCTTGCAAAGTGGAATTATTGGGATGGTAAACTGTTGATGAAATTGTTTCAAGTTTCACTTTGACAATTGAAGCTGTTTTTTCTCTGGATACCGTGTGATTTTTCCAGTACTAACTACCAAATATTGGAAGCTTTAAGAAGCCTTCTACATAAAACATGTTAAAAATATCATCTAAACCACATCAGCTTATGGATAAAAGATGTGCTGCTAAACATAGAAGGGCTGTCCAGGAATGGAAAATGTCTTTCATGAATGATTTTGGCTGCGGTGATTTGGCTGAAGTGGTTTCAGTGTAAAAGTAGGTTGTTTTCAGGCATCTCTTGTGTATTGCCTTCACTCTTCCAATTTCTGTTGAGATCTTCCAAAGAAAGCTTCTTTTCTAGGTGCAGCTGTGATTTACTGGGGGCAGTTACATGCTCTGATGTAGGGAGCTCACCAAAGGAATTCTGAGGATTCCTTCATTCTGCTTTACCTGCTGCCACTCACATTCCTATAATATATCATGGCAGCCCTACCGCTCTCAAAGCAGGAATGAACTAGATTTTACAGCCTGTTTCCTGCACTCTTTAATTAACTGTAAAATCCATTATTGAGAGACACAAAGCAAATCTCGTCCCTACATCATCACTCGTGGCCCCAGGGAGAAAGTGACCGGGGCTGGAAATTGATCCTGTTCTCTCTGTGGCAGAACTCAGCCACGACACCAGCAGAATGGGCCATGTCCCTGCTTTTATCCCAGAGTCCAGGAGAAAAGAAACAGGAATTGGAACATGGAGAGCCTGGAGTTTAGAACTGATAGGAGGAAAAAGGCTCCAGGAAATCTGTTTGTTGTTCTTTTTGTCCTTATATTCCTGTGACTCCCTTTTTCCTATTAGAACTTCAAAGAGTATCTCATGTCTCTGACTTAACATCCTCACTGTCCTTGTAGTATATCTGACTTTTATAGAGAGGCTTGGGTGTTTCTTGGAGCTGTTTGGTGTGACAATGCACTGAGGAACTGTTAAAAGGGGATTCCTTATGTCTGCTTCCAGGGGCTACTCCATCTCCTTTTTCACCTTCGTCTCCATCCAAATCAGGATTTATACTTGAGACTCTGTGAAGGAGCATCCAGGACTTTGAAGGAAAATATTCTGGGTTCCCCAGTCCTGGAAATCCCTAGCAAATCCAGTAGTTATGCTGGCCTGAAAAGGGACACTTCCCTGGCTAGGGCCTAAATTAGATGAAATCAAAATGTAAAGATGATTTTCTTCTTGTAACAAATATGATTTATGGCTGTCTATTGCAGTGGATGCCTCTTGTACTGTGTCTGCATGATGTCCATCCCTGTCTGTCTCAACCTCAATGCAGCTCTGTATCTTTGCAAAGAGAATTAGTTTATCTGCAGGCTGAGCACAGGACATGTGGTAGGACACATTTTTGAGGTTTCACCTGATGTTTAAATTCAGAGGTTACAGCATCTGCCATGATCAGCTCATTCAACAACAGAACTTCTTTTTTAGAAGATATTAGAAATTCCTTCCAAAAAGTTGAAGCCCTTGTACTTTAAACAACAAAAACACCACCCCTTGAGTACTCTGCAGTTCCATTTACAGTAGCTATCAGAAATACCATGTAATGGAAATGTATATCCCCAGTAATTTAATGTGATCAGAGCAAGCTTTGGTAAATCAAAGTGGTTTATTCTCAGAGAATCACTTAAAACACTGCTGAACTGTATGGTGAAATACATTCCCTGCTATAGGGAGGGTGTTCTTCATTTTTGTTATTGATTTTTAGGAGCTTTAGAGTTAAACCATGCCAGAAGTGTTGCTGAGATGAATCACTATTATCCAAAGGCCACCAGCCTCTCTGCCGACTGACAGAAGGATAATTCCGCATGGATCAAATAAATACAGATGTGTAGTAATTAGTTCTATTCCCAATGAGCCCATTTCCAGCACACTAAAGATGTGCACGATTATGGAGCCTCACCCCAACAGCTTTTATCAATTTAAACTGCTAAGCTACAGGATAGGTCATAACCCAGCCTGCTATTAATAATGTATTTATTGTGTGCAACATTATAAATGAGTTTCAGGGAATAGAAAAGAACACCTTTTAACAAGAATAATGTTATCTTTCTCCAGGAGCATCACATGTGCCTGGCCACGCTGCTGAAGTATAGTCCCAAGACTATCAAAAGAATAAGAACTCTTCTCCAGAGCAGAGCTGCCTACATTGTTGGAGGGTTTCCCCACAATGATGATTTAGCTGTGGCTGACATGCTAAATGTGCCTATATTAGGCTCAGTGCCAGAAGTGGCTCATCTCTATAGTACCAAGTCTGGAAGTAAACGAATTTTTGCCAGTGCTCGTGTGCCAACCCCTCCTGGAGAGTCAGACATCTACAACAAGGAGCAGGTAAGTGGGATGGGGCAACTCGCAGGTCCCTGTTTTCACTTCATGGGATGCAGACGTATGATTACAATGACTCTATTGATTAGACCAGACCCTAACTGGGTTTCATTAAACCATGTGTGAGGTTAGGATCTTCCTTGGCTCTGCCTGACCAATTAAATGCAGTTTGTAACCTGGTCTGGCAGTAACGCAATTGTTCCGTATCTTTCATGGTCTCTCTTGAAAATATATTAGGGTGTTTGGTCCGGTTATTTCAAAGAGTTTGTGTTGCTGCTCCATGGATGAAGTTGTGGCCTCAATGCAACTGGTTGGAGTTTTACCAGTGACAGAAAATAGAACAAGGAATTCTGGGAAAATCAGGTATTTAATGAAGGGAACATTGCTTGCACTTAGGCAGTCAGCCTTTTCAAACTGAGGCTTACTGAACGTATCTGTGACCAAAGTTTGCTTTGCATCCAGCTTATCACTGCTGAAGTCACCTATCTCGTTAGCATGACCCATAAGAAAAAAAACAAAATGTTACCTAAACTACAAGGCACAAAAATTTTTTGTATTGGGTTCAGTTTGCATCTGCTTATTTTGCATTCAGTGCATTTATTCTATAAGCTGCTTTTGCAGTCTGCAATGATATGTCTAAATCTGATCTGTACTGATTCTTTTTAAATATATTTTTATGGTGGTTCTGTCTCAGACAGCAAAAGGAAAGCCACAATTTGCAGGTATTCCTACTTCTTTAAGGGGCTTTTCATGTTGCTTTGCTATTTATTAATCACCTTTAATGCTGAAAACAATCTTAGCTACACAAACACTGCAACTTCTGTAGCAGATGAAATAAATACATGATCAAAACCCAACCAATTTATTGTTAAATAATTTATGTGAATCAAATATTTGTGATTCCTAGTACAGTGTTATGGAAGTTCTACTTCTGCTTGCTTGTATGAAATATTGACATTTTGGGTTAAATAATCAAAGCAAGGTGATGCTATGCCAAAGCACAATTCCATTTTCACTTAAGGAGAGCACATAATTCTTTATGATTGGTACAGTCCTTACAGTGTTATTGATCGTCTTCATTACTGTAGGGGAGTCATCAAGAAAAACACATTTAAATGATTCTCAAAAGCCACAAATAATAGCATCAGGACACACATGGAAACGTATTTTAGGTCAACATTAAAAAGCTAGAAACAAAAGTCCCCCAAATTACTATGTAAAAATGTAGAAGGCTGTAGCCAACGTGACAGGATCTGATAACACTTCTACCAGGTTCAAAGGCATTTGCAGTTCCTAAGAAGCTAATTGCATCCTACACCAGCTGGGCAGAAGGCATTTTAAAAGCCATTTCAATCTGTGTATATACACAAATAAATAATTAGCATTTTTATAAAGGCTGCTTGGTTACTCTTTCCTACATTTATAAACAGAGAACGTGCTCTCCAGTAGGAAAATTTCCCAGCTGTTTGGCTGGTGTTGGAATCTGGCACAATTGTTTCTCAGATACTGCAGATAGTGTAGTCCACCCCATGTCGTTCCCTGTCACAAACATTTATTCAGCAGTACTGATTATCCAAAGCCTAAGATCCTCATCACACAAAATAGCTTGGACAGGCAAATTTCTCTCTTGGAGCGCAGCTGCTCTGACCAGCAAAGTTGCTCAGTGCTGTTTGATGGACTCAAGTACAGGATAAAGGCCATAGAGCCTTCATCAAAAGATGTTCAAGGTTCATTGTCCTGCGTATCTAAGATACTGTAACAATATGAGCATCTCTGGGATAAACGAACTGTGTTTAGGCAATAAATTAGAAGCCCGGTTATTTGAGAACTGGAAGTCTAAATTGAAGAACCATAGCTCAAAATATCTCTGTGTGATTGCTCCACAGATGATCAGTATTCTCAGCCAGCTCATCGTAGTCAATATGGAAGTGCAGCGCTGGCTGTTTAAAGTGAATGATGAGCGTGGAGGAAATGGTACTGCCTATTGTGACATTATTTCACATCTGAAATGCTACCCCTGGGTGCAAAAGGAACGTCAGCGACACAGCCCTGAGACATGGAGTGAGAAGCAGGCACACGTAAGTAACACAGGAGTTGGGTGCCCTGTTTGATGCTGTGGCTTCTTCATAGCCCACTGTGGTTATTCCTCACACTACACCCTTTCTCTGAGCTTTCATTTTAAGGCTTAGCTAAGAGTGAGTCGGTATTACAGAGCCCAGACTAGCTTGTGCAAAGCAATAGGTAACAGTGGTTCAAATAAAACAGTTAAATATATCAATATAAAAATGAAAGCCTGGCATCCAATGTGGAGTAAGTAACACTTCATTCATATGCGGTAATGTGCAAATTTTACACAGTGTTTTTTATCCAAAGTGAGGACATGTGTCAATACAGGTGGCAGAGCCTTGTCTCTACACAGAAACTCTGAATTACTGGAACAAAGTGTTGGATTAATACAGCTGAACACCACTAATCAATTTGAAACCACATCCAAAGTCATTATAATCTGGTTTTCTAAGGATTATTATTCTTTATTCTAAGGATTATTTTTCCTCTGTTATCCCTCACTAATAACTAATAAAGTTATTTTCATCTGTGTAAGAATGCTCGAGGTCTTGGAGACTGTCCTGCATGTTTCATTACAGTGGGTGTTTAGGTAAGGAGAGAGACCCTATAAATACTTAGAGGGAACAGCATAGCACTAGTAGATTCCCAAGAATCCACATGATCGAGAGAGGCTGTAAAATGATACATTTCAACCACAGAAAAATCCGTAAGAAACCAGACTTGATTAGTTCTGCCATTCAGAAAACTATTTGTAGTTTAAAAATTCATTGGTATTTAAATGTGTTAATTTCAATAAGCATTTGATATTTCTGTATATTGTGCCAAATTCATTCCTAATGTAATTGCTTTAAAGCCAGAAGGAATGTATCCAGAAAGAATTGTTTAATTTACATAAACTACTCATTATAGCTCCTTTTGATTTTTTTTTAATTCAATCCATACCAGTTTGAAATTTTTGTTTGATTGAATTATATTGTATATTAAAATTTCAAATTGTGCTGGTTATGGTTCTGTTGCATTTGATAACTACAAAATAATTCCATGTTATAAAATAGAGCTGATGATGTAAAGCTGAAGGGCTGATTTCCCTGATCTGCTAACGATCCCTCACTCTTGGCAAGTCAAGCAGTATAGAGCAGAGTGCTGGAGAGCCAATGTAGGGTCAGCATCTGGCCACTGAGCTCTCAGGGACATAAAACTAACTGTACACCCATGTACTACACCCAGCACCTAAGTCAGTGGGGCACAAAAATCATTCCCCAGGTCTAGTTCTTTGCTGGTATAAATTCCCTATTAGCATTCCTGTGCCTTTTGGATTCTTTGTGGCTGAGTGACTCCGGAAAGGATGCAGTGCTAACTGGCTTGCTTTGGTTCCCCTTTTATACCACTTTTATATTCAGCTTTGATGCAACCAGGAATCAACCCATTAAAGCCCTTAAACATAAACATGGAAGTTGGAAAATATATGTGGAATAATGTGTTTGATCTGATTTCTCAGAGTCAGCAGTAATGCTTCCATAAATCCAGCCCAGTATTAAAGCTGGTTTTGGCAAAGCATGGACTTTGCTGCCATTTTGAACCTCTTCTTGGAATACCTGTGTTCAAATCTGTATAGGAGACCTTTTCTGTCTAATGAATTGCAGCCTCTACTGAGTACTACCATTGAGAGCAGAGGATTAAAATCATCCTTTGTTAAGGAATCCCATTGTAATGATACACATTTAAACATCAAAGCATTAGTTTATGAGCACAGGCATGCTTTAATGTCCTATTACAGTGTGTAGACCTGTTTCTTTTGATAATGAAGACATTGTGTCATCGGCATCGGCTGCCACATACAAAACGGATGCTGGCAGGTTATTAAAAAATTCAGCTTCTTGATGAAAGACTATCCTGCAGGCTAAGAGTACACTGGAAACCTCGCCATTCTGCTAGAATTATTAGAAATGAGAACATGACTGTAAGCACTAAATTATGTTAATACTTACAAATAGCATAATTTGCATAGCAGTTTAAGACACGATACCCAGATTTGCCTCGTTGGTAGGGAGTAGGCAACAGATTAAAAATAATATGGTTTGTAAGTTTGAACTGTGTAAAAAATGTATTCCATCTAAAAATGAGGCTGATTTTAGATTCCTCATTTCAAATAGAATGTTGGGCAAGCAGAAGTGTAGGACAAGATTACTGAGCTATTTTACCCTGTTAATGCAGTATCTGAGTTAATCTGAAGAATTATTCTGCAACTGCATAAAGGGTTCAATTCACAAACCATGCCAAACATCTCTTTAAGGCCTTCATCTGACTGCATTGCTGTGGTCTGTCATCCTGAGGCCCACATTCTAATGATACTTTATATGGAGAGCTGCTGCCTCCACATGTGCACATTGGGCACCTGTGAGGCCATTTGTGGGCACATTCTCTACTGTGAAAGCCATACTGTCATGACCTTGAAGAAAGGTGCTCAGATGCCTGCTCAGAATTCAACCTGAAGATTGGCAGAAAAGCAGTCTACAAAGTGGATTTGGTGTATTTTGATTGATTAATCAAAGTCTGTTATGCCTCCTGATCTCTGAATCTTGGGACTCAAACTGCCACCTCAGATTCTCACAACTTTTGATGTCCTCCTCCCTTTTAGAGGAAAGGTAACATCACCTTCCCCTTAGAGTTGCCTTTTTTCTTAAGTTCCCTTTTTAGGTAAAATAATATTAGACTATGCAGAGATGCCACCCTATAACTATAGAACTCAAAATAGTACCTAAATCAGTAGCCAAATTAATATACTTTTTACTACGCTATGACTCTTAATTAACCACCAGGACCAGCAGCCTGATGTGAGTTTCCACCTAGCAGCAATCCTAAAGGTAAGATCAGACCAAAGACAAAGGGTGAAGTGTGGGGATAAAGAAGAGCTGAAAAGACAAGAATAGAACAAGACACAGAAAACCAAGCAACAAATATTCTCTCAATAAGCCATTATAATTGGCCCTGGCTACACAACCATTTTAAAACCCTCCATTAAATATCTGCTGTAGAAGAAAAGAAGCTATTTAATGTGCTTGGGCAGCCTTCTGTTTTAAATGTTAGAGCATTTGAATCCTACTGCCTCCAGTTGTGTCACGGTATTTTGTCACAGTTTCTTTTCCTTATAGACTCTATCTTGGTAAATTCACTAAAATGCATAAAAGGAAATCAGAATCTTCTCAAAAGGCGACAAAACTGGAAAATCCAGCTTTTGGTCTGGGTTGCACAAAGCAATATTCAGACACTGGTTGCAAGAGTATGCATCTATTGCTATTGGAAAATTAAGAGTTTTAAAGGGCGAGATAAAAATGATGCAAAAGGTTGGATGTTCCCTTAAATTAATAAAACCTTTTGGTCAACTTTAGAAAGTCCTGTAATAAGTAATGGATAAACTTTGTGATTATTCGAAGTTAGGAATAGTGTTGAAAGCATTCTTTACTGGTTGAATGAACTGCAAGCACTGTAAGCGAGCTGAAGCCTTTGTACTATGTCTTATTCTTTACTGAAGGAAGGAATTCAGGGTAAAGAGCATATGACTGTAAGCAGGTCAAAATAAAACCAACCATAACACTGTCAAAGAAGCAATTTCAGAGAGTGTGCTGGCAATGCCATGTATCGTTTCTGACCCCCTTTGAGCACAGTTCAACTTCCTAACACTGTTTTTTCCTTGCCATGACCCAATCTAATTTTCACCGCTCCTATGGCCTTTTGTATCATCAACAGCTTTGTCCTATGGCAGCATTACAGATATTACTGCAACTGGAATAAATAGCAAGTAATTGAGTTAGTCTTAGTGTAGCACCTGAAGTCCAGAAAGGGTTCTTGGGCAGTTGCCTTTGCTGCTGCGTTACTCCACTCATGGCCTGGCAGGTGTGTTCTTTCCTCAGCCTGAGGAGGGCCAGGGACTCTGACACAAGGTGCATTTCCAGCATTCTGACAGGCTTTTAAAATTCCTCATAACTGAGATGATGTTTAATAGAAAAAGAGAGAGAACCCAAAGGCTTCAGACAGACATTGATTACCTATACAGCAATACAGCTGCAGGTTGTCTCCTGGTACACGCAGTGCTCTGTCAGCAGTATGTCCTAAATAACTGTAATATTCACTGTGGCTTCAGACAGTCCGTAATGCTCTCACTCAGCTCATTAATATATCTGTCTATCTGCCACGGTGATGTCTCAGGTGATTCTCAAATCTTAAATAAAATAAAGCATGATAATTGTATCCCTTGGTTCAATTGAAACCAGGATATCCATTCCCGAGCCTTGCAATAATCAGATATGCAAGCTGTTGGTTTGTATGTCCTATTGATTTAATATGCTTCTAATCAGTACATAAAGCTATAGGCCTGCAGTGTTAATTTTTCATATGCTTACAAAGTACCCTTTGATTTTCTGTCACGCGTTAATTACAGCGTTTTGCCATTAAATAGGAAGCTTTGTGTAAACTAATTACAAGGTAATCATTGTGTACCGCGAGCGTGCTGTTTGTACCTTTTAGTTGAGTCTAAAACCGCACAGATCTCGCAGTCTGGAACCACTATACCTTCCAGCCATTAGCTCTCACTAATTCATAGCATTATTGTGCTAAGATTGTAGGAGTTGTAATTGTTGTGGTATCAGTGCTGTTAATTACCGGAGTAAACAGTTGAAATGGTGCCAAGGTCTATTGTACAAGGCAGAGGAAAGGAGGTTTAAATGTTACTTCCACCATCTGGGGACTGGAGTGGAGGCAAATGCTAGAAAACAGCAGTGAGGCAATATCAGAACTTCAGCTCCAGGGTTTTAGGCCATATGGATCCAGAATATTTTGAATCAATTGAATTTAAGTGCCAGTTTGTAGCAATAACAGTGTGGAAGGAGAGGATAAAGCAAGAGCACTAAAGAAATCCGAAATCCGTTAATGTTATCGCAGCCAATAAAATGCCTGCTTGGATTATTTTAAAAATGTTTATTTTGCTAAAATCCAAGGAGTAACACCCAGGCAGCTCGGGGAATAAAGGAAGTTTAACTGTGTGCTGCTTATGAAACGCAAAGCAGGTTTTGTCTCACAATGCCTTTAGCACTGCAGCTCAGCAAGTTAGATAACAATTCCTGGGAAGTGGCTGTGGATTATCTATGTGATGTCTCTTTTTCTTCTCGAAACCACATTTTTGGGCTTCATTAGCATCCTTCCTTTAGAGAGTCAAACCAGAACAGAGGGTGAGTGAGCAAAACGCAGAGAGACTGAAAGAGGAAAATAAATTAATTAGGAAAATACTATTAATCTGCGGGCATCTGGGTTGTTTGTGCATTTGCAGAGATTTCATTAAAATACAGAAAAGATGCATTCACATATTACTTACGTCATTTTCTATGAGAATTAACATCCCTATGCCCTGAATTTACAGATGCTGCATTTGAAATAAAGATACAGGGTTTTTTAAAAGAGAGATTTTTGAAGGTTATGACAATTACGTTACTTTTTCTTTGCTCTGAAGGTATATGTGGGTAATGAAGGCTGCAACCTCACAAAAAACATGCTGTTATGGATAAAACAGCAATGCACATGGAATATTCTGCTAATGATAAAGAGAACTATTTAATACAATTATCCTAATCCCAAATTAACATGTTGTGCATAAACATGCAGGATTATTTGACAATTTCATGGAGCTCTCAGATCCTCTTTCTGCCTGATTTTTGGTAGCGGTTGTGATTCTCTATTTCATTTCCCTGCAGATAAGTGTTTTCCAAGACGACATCTACGAACGGGGCTCTGGCAGCATATTGCTGCTGCCACATTAGGAGTGTTTGGAGGAAATAGAAAGGGTCTCTCTTTCTAAACGATCCTGGTTTATTTATTTTTTATTGGTCTGTTAGCAGATGTTGAAGTAGTTCAGGGCACAATGTAAACATGTGCTTTTCAATGGAGGTACGGTAAATAGCAACGTGTACAATGAAACAGGCAATTTGAAGGGGCTTTGGGGGCAGGCCAGTGGGTTTTTTGCTTTTTGTGTGTGTGGATGTAGTTGAATTTAGAATTAAAGGAAGCGCTTGATCTTTATATATTGAAATCCTCTACGTGCAGAGTGACAGCATGAGCCAGAAGAGAAACCCATGGCCCCATGTGGTGTGAAAAAAGGAACAGCAGTTTAAGTGCTGGAAAGTTGAAAGAGAACTAACCTTCTTGTTCTTGTAGTCACGGAAAGTGGCTGTTTTGTGCTTCTGTATTGAAGCATAGCATATGTGCCTGGGCTTGACAAAAAGCCTCTCCAGTCAAAGCAAGCCTCGGCCTGGGTGCTGATCCAAAGCAAAGGCTGCGATAATGAGGGAAGGGCTCTCAGGAAGCAGTGAGTAGATAATACGATGTAAGTGGCGAATTCTGTGCTCTGTTTTCACCATTGTACTTAATGCAAGTCGCAGGCCCAGCACATCGCTCGCCACACAGCTGCAATGGGCCATTAGCTATCAGGGAAAATTGTCTTTGCTACTTTCAGCAGATGGAGCAAATATTTTACAAAGCAATTTTACATACAAAAAACATTTCTGTTACTTGGTAATGATGGCTGGTTTACCCGATGCTGCCTTCTATCAGGATGCACTTTTCCAGCTCGTGGAAGGCAAAATTGGCACTTTTTAATTTTAAAATTTGCAGTTAACAATTAAATGCCCGGGCTTTAAATCAGGTGGCAAACTTTAAGTAGATAGGGATCCAGTGCATCACTTCCAAAACCTATTTCCAGTGTTATAAACCACTCACATTGTTTTTGCTCAGTGTGGTAGATTATGGGTCTGGCCAGCATGTACCTGTCTGAATTAGAAACAATATCACATCGGTTTAATTTGCAAGTTAGGAAATACTGAGGGTTATTTGGAAAGTCAGACAGCAGTCACTGCCTCTTCCAGCATCACCCTGTTTGCTGGTGTGGCTGAGAACAGAAAATAAGCTGGACTGGCCCAATTCAAGGCAGCTGGAATAAGTTATCACAGCTCCACTGATCGCAGTAGAAAGGATATACTATATAAACGATATGAATTGTCATCATGCCATTGAGGAGGCATAAATTGACGTAGCTTCATTGACTTCCACAGGGATGTGGCACTTTGTATTGCTAAGGATCTGTCTGCTGGCTTTATTCTTCCCTGGCCCAGTCAGCTTTACTTATTCAGAGTTACTTTCTTCACTCTATTTGCTTGCAAGGTCTAAATAATTTCCTTTCAATCTGATTTTCAGCTAAAAAGCCCTAGGTCTTTCTCATGCATTCTGCTCTGCAGCCTCTTTCTGTCCCCAGGTCTTTCTTTCTATTTCTAAGATTTTTTTCTTCTTTCTATTTGTTTACTTCTCAACAGGCTTTTCTTTGCTGACTGATCTATCTGGAGTATATTTCCTACCCAGCGCCTTCAACATATGCCACATTTTCTCCTCATTTTTTATTGCAACTGCTATTTCTAAGTAAGCCTTTCAAAATTCAGCTTGCAGAAGGGTGAGAAATTACATTTAGGAAGGAAAAGGTAATTTTCTTTCTTGCTTATTCATTATTACAAAGCAATACAAACTAGATTTGTATAGATTTAAAGGTTTTTACATGACATAAACAGTATTTGGGCTGCTCCTTTTTTACTGGTACTAAGAAATACGAGCTGAAGGATTTGAACACATGCTCCCTGTTTCCATTGAGCCTCCGATTCTGAATTGGTTTGGGCCACATCAAGAGATAAACCATTGGCAAGCTCTGCTGGAGATACTGTCCAATTTAAATGAAATTAGCCTACCAAGCACTGATCCTTTTAAAAGGTTTGACTTCCTGAGTGAATGTTGGATCCAGGCTTAAATTTGCCTACTAAACCTCCCTATAATCAGGATTATTACCTTTTTTAGAGCTTGCAGTTGCAAAAACAGCCCCCATGAACTAGAATTCCAGGTGCTGATCCTTGAGGAGTGGTTGCCTATGAACACCTTGCTTCTTGAGGCATTACTTGTTAAAAGCACTGTTACATTGGCTTTGATCTCACAAGAACATTTTCCAGATTTCCTTAAATTAGTTTTTCCTTTAAATCCTCTTTCTTCCTTCTGTAAGGCAAGCAGGTTTGATGCCAACATCCTTCACAGGTAGAGAGTACCAAGAGTGCTCTGAACCGTGAGATGCTCCTGAGCCATGCACTCTGCATCCTGTTGCCCTACAGATGGGTTGGAATTGAATAAGTTTTAAGATCTCTTCCAGCCCAAACCAGTCTGTGATTCCATGAAGCAACACCGAATTCCTCCTCACAGATTGCTGGAAACAAGTAGTGTAAGACTTGAATCTGGTCAGTTCTGAACTTGGATCTCACATTTTATGTGGTCCTTTCTTTTCGTGCTGCTTCACGTATTGATATACATGATGTTGTCTGACGTTGTATTTTACGTTACAGATATAGTATGTTTAAAGTCAACCCCATACTTTACTCCTTAGGACATGACAGGAGTCCACATAACCCAGAACAGTATCATTATCCAAGCACCTAAGTATTTTTTAAGGCATAAATATTTAGTTAAGTATTTAATAAGTATTTAATTCCATGTGAGGTAAGGATGGAAAGTGTACCCCTTTCATGGCTGGTCAGCTGAGGCACAGACAGAAAGTCACCTCCCTGAAATCCCAGGTCGCCTTGATACCCTAATCATTGGCCCATACTCCTCCTCCTTGTTGTGGTAGGTAAACCACAGTAAGCTGATTTTGTTTGTGTTTTTAGCGACATCACATCATGTGCTTCACAACAAAGCCCATCTCTTCATACTCACTGGTCTGGAAAAAAACCAGATTTTTATGTTTTTCCTGTTCTTAGGTGTCAGCCATAAGGTTTTATTGTGTCCCTCCAAAGCTCAAGGTAATCTGATTGTGGCTTAGGACATTGCCAGGATCGGAGAATGGTTGGTCATCTTCTGCAGCACAGGATGCTGAAGAGAGAGGATGTAAAACAGAAGCAAAGAGACCCAGGGGAAGCAGGCGAATGCTTATGAAGCAGCAAGGAAAGGAGCCTGAAGCAATAGAGTCAGGGTCCTTGCACTTTATATGCTCGTGTACTTCTGGGACGTTTCTGAACAGTAAAAGCAATGCAGTTAGTGTCTGTATTTAATGGGGTTGTTTTGTGTGTGCGTGTGTGTGTGTGACAATAGAGGAAGGAATTTGAAACTAGAAGAAAACTAGTTTATCTCCTATAGTATGACTAACACTAATCAAATTCTACCAAAGACAGAAGCACGAATACATTTGTGAATTTATGATACAGACCGGAGAGTGTAAAAGGGTATATACTCCTTTAGAAATGCTTTTAGTTGATCATACCTCCTTTTTTTTTTAACTAAAGGGTGTTTGGGTTGATAGAACAGCTTAAACATAGAACCACTAAAACTATTTTGGGCATTTGTGACTATTTCAATCTGCTCAGTTTCCAAATCTAAACAATGTAGAAGTTACTGACTGCAGGTATTGATCCCTCAGCAGTTACCAAGTGCTTCAGCATTTCAGTTGCCAGATCAAGTTATTGATATAAATTATAATGAAATAGATGCTACATGGAAGGGGGACAGGGGGGTGTCTTTCAGAGAAGGAGAGATTTCAATAGGAGGGAAGAGGAGTAAGTAGGAAAATTAAAAAAGGCTTCCTGACTGTGGGTAAACAGTAACCACATTTTTTGTGGTTGCCTGTTGGAGGCCTGGTTTTTAATCACCCCACAAGCAGTTTTCATTTCTGTAGTAAAATTGCTTGTGGTTCTATTTAATTTGTTTCTGCAGGAGCTAGCTTTGGTGAAGATCTCCCAGGAGCTGCCGGGCCTTTTAGCACAGCACGTACAGCCAGTCAATGAGAAACGATTCCCTACATGGGAAAAATTCCTCCAAACATTTCTTACTCAAGGTAAATAAGACTGCAAAGTCGCTGTTAAGTGTTATAAGGAGTAATTATACCACATTGTATGCCATATTCTTGTTAATCTTGGGCACATTTAAGTATTTATCTCCCTTTATTTCTCTACTATGCTTCAAATGTTCATTTACAAATGAATTATAGGCAATCATTCTATCTTTCATCTGTCCTGTCCAAGCTTTTAACCTGTATTAATCTGGGATCACCTTTCTTGCATGATTCTGAATCAGTAAGCACAAACTCCTTAACCCTGGGTTACTGTACAAAGGCTGTCATGTTTGGCAAAGGGTTTTAGGGAATGTCAGTGAGTCTGCAGCAGATAAATGGGAGAATGTTTCATTTAAGCTAGGTGTTGGTGAGCACAGGTCTGTGAGAATAGCTTTCTCCTCCCATAGGCCCAGGAAGGGGGCTGTATGTAAACTCTGGATGCTACGTACATACATTGCATGCCATCAAATGTTCTCATGGTGTCAAGTCCTGAGCAGGCTTCTTGCATTTAACCCACTTGTGGCACCTTTAGCTCAAAGCTGCCCAGTACATAACTGGTCTAAAGCTCAAGACAAGCCCATGTGTGTAGGTAAGAGGCAGCACAGATGAAACCCTTGTCTAACCTCTCCGGATTAGTGTGTCTGTGAGGGGGCTTTGCACAGACATAGAATCACAGAATGATTTAGTTTGGAAGGGACCTTAAAGATCATCCAGTTCCTGTCTCTGTGTTCCATTATATATATATATATATGTATGTATGTATGTATGTATGTATTTATTTCTTTATTTATAGTTGTTTATGACTCAGTTGAAAGAGGGTAAATTTAAATGAGCTCTTAGGCAGAAGCTCTTCCCTGTGAGGGTGGTAAGACCCTGGCACAGGGTGCCCAGAGAAGCTGTGGCTGCCCCATCCCTGGCAGTGTTCAAGGCCAGGTTGGACACAGGGGCTTGGGGCAGCCTGCTGTAGTGGAAGGTGTCCCTGTCCATGGCAGGGGGTTGGAACTGGATGATTTTTAAGGTCTTTTCCAGCCCAAACCATTCTGTGATTGTATGGATGGAATCTCCGAGATTAGTTCACAGCAGGAGATACTCCCCCAAGGTTCCAATATTGCATTTTACTGCTGTTCCAGGCCTGGGGTTTAGCTGGGCTGTGAGACAGCCCAGGATCCATTCATACAATCCAAGATCATATTTCTTCAATGACATATCCAGTTTGGAACTGCTTGAAAGTATCTGTAGCCGAAAAGCCACTGTTTGAACGGTCCAGTGCTATAGTAGATGATACCTTCTTTCTCTTGGAAGAGATTCATGGGTTCTAGCTCTGCTGCTCACATTACATTATTTACTTGCTGTATCTCCATGGCAGTCCTCCCTGCAATGCCTGAGCACAACAGGAGCTGGCTGGTTTCACTCTGTGCACTCTGAAGAGCATCACATGTGAATTTGATTACAAGCTTAACAGCTAATTCATTTCTTACTAGGTGGTGTGATAGAAGCCTTCCCACTCTCAGAGCATGTCACCAACCTCACGGTGGATATGCTGATAGAGCCTACGGGCAAGATAAAAATAGTGTCATCTGGAGACCAGCTCCATGCTGAGGGTCCTCTGCGCTCATCTGGCACCACCATTCCCCAACGTTCTGTTGATCCAGCGGTTCTTAATTCACTCTGCTTTAAAATTGGAGAGATCTGTAAATCTAAAGGAGTGCTGGGTTACTTCTCAGTGGATTTTGTGAGTTTCATCCACCCACAAACGATGGAGCAGCAGGTGAGTAGGGCAGATTATGTCACTTCATGCTGTCCCCCTGGGATCAAGAAACAGCTGCTTTCCTACTTGGTTCCAGCAGAGACCAGGAGAGAGCCTTGCCATTTTGAACACACTTTATTTCTAAGCCATGAGGCATGTGGATGGAGGTAGAACACATGGTTATTCTAACAATAGCATAAAATTTAGACCTGATCTGCCAGGTGGATCTGAGGAGCCTTTTTCATCAGCCTGAAGAGTAATAAACCAGCACAGCCTTTCAAAGCTGAGTGGTAAGAAAATAATGTTTTAATTCCTTCTAATGACCTTTTTTTTCTTTTTTTCCCCTAAAAATAAGTGCCTCCTGCATTAAGCTGGTAATTACAGATGATGGTCTTATGGCTAAGATGTTTAGAGGATTTTAGTGTCAGTGTTCTGATTCCCTTGTATTTTGCTCCATAAAAATAATCACAGGAATTATTGTTCTCTTTGGAGTAAACCAGTGTCTATTAGACCATGGATCAGAGGTTTGAGGATGAATCTGAGGAAGAGGGGATACTGGCGATTCCTTAGAGCAAATTGGATGGTGGAGATGAACAGTTTGGTTTACATCATAACAGCTAATGTAAGTAGAGGGAGGTAATGGAAGGCAGTCCCCTTACCAGTCACTGTGATAACCAAATGAAGAACATTGCTGAATATTGTATCCAGTTTAAAGGTAACACTTCCAGGAGATTAAAACCAGTGAAGCCAGGCTTCCCATAGAGCTGTGCCTTGAATCCAGTTCCCACGTGTGCTCCAGCTGAGCTCCCCCTGCGGCCTTTCCTGTTGTAAGTCACTAGCAAGGTCTCTTTCCTCTGTCTACTTACTTTAGGAATCTCATGGGAGTTTGATATATTTCATAATCATACTTTCTTCTAAATTTGATGTTGGCCAACAGGATTGAGTATTATGACAGGTAGACAAACCTAAGGGATAATGCCTGACTAAAATGCCACAAAATGAAGTAAAATCTGGGTGAAGAGACTGCACTTCCAGTGTTCTGTTAGTGGCCTTGTGCTTGAAGACTACAGAAAATAATTTTTAAAGAAGATAAACCCCATACTGTCAGTGATGACAGTACTTTTGTGCTTCCTGTACAACTACACAAATCCAAAATCAGTGTGTGGATCCTGATGCTAATTCAAGATCTTTGCATCAGGTCTCAATTATTTCTTGTATTTCCAAGGCATCTTCTTGGTTTTGCTCTTTTCTTTTGTTTTCTTCTACACTCTTCAATTAGGACCTGCACTGTTTAAGAAGTGTTTAACTGTAAAGGGAACATATCTGTATTTTCTGGGGTGGGCGGTGTAAGATAGGTGCACTTTCAGAAGACATCTGAATCCATTTGGGTGTCCTATTTTCCTTCATTGTCTGGAAATCACAGCTTGTGTGGTGTGAGAAAAGGCTTTAAACACAGGGCTTGTCTTTAAAACCAAAGAGCATATGGTATCTACTGGCAAAAGCTGGCTCTTTGGCAGTGCTGTGATAATTATATTCCATTTTAAGCTCAGAGGAGGCTTAAAATCTGGGGTTTGGTAACTGATACCACTGAAGGGTGACTGTGGTGAACCAGAGGATATGACTCTCAAAATGTATTTACACAGGCATTGTGATTAGGACTGTGGATAAGCCACACTGGACAATTTGATGTAAAGTTGCTTTACAAAGATGAAGGGATGACATTTTCACCTGTGGAAGCCAATGGGAGTTTTGCCAATGGCTTCACTCAAGCCAGGAGTTCACCCAAACACAGAGATATCTCCTGCATTATGAAGGTGGTGACATTTCCTGGCATGAACAAGGACACATTAAATCAGTCATTGTTTCTTGTGGCCTCTTATTAATCCTGTCTGCTCTGCCTTGATTTTCTTCCCTTGTTTCAAATTGATTCTACCTTAATATCTCCAATGTTTGTCAGCATGTACCACAACTTTAACATTATTTAAGCACAGGTTTTTAAATTTAACTAGACGTAGAGGCAATTAATGATGCCATCTGTCTTGTGAGAGGGAGATTACACAAAACACTGTGTTCCTGAAAGCACTATTTTTTTGGCAAACAAGAAATCCTATTAGACTCTCTCAGAACATTTGCTCCCTGATTTCATTAGTGCCCACTTTAATGCAGTAGCTGAAAGGCTCAGATACAATTCCTGGAAGTACTTTTGTTATATTGCTATGTTCCTTTGGAGGACTAGCAGCAAAGAGACCGTGTGGTGGATGAGGAAAAATGTGTGTCTGTCAAACACACAAGTGGGTGAATGCAGAAATGAGAAAGTAATCTCCACCTGGGTCACTGCAGAGCTTTGTGCCTGTCACAGACCCCACAATATCCCTACAGTGCAGTTCTACACTGACCAAAAGGTGGTAAGAGCAATGCTGTCCTCAGACCTGGAGGAGCTATGGATGATGCTACAACCTTTCAGATGTGAGGTACACTGTGTCATATTTCCACTGGGCTTTCTTGTTCTTCTGCTTGGTACCCAAGTGTCTCCCAGCTCCCTTTTTCTTCGTCCTCACAAAGAAGCCTCTCAGTCTGTGTGGAGTCTTAGCTGGCCAGCTTGCCATTGCTTCTACATACAACGAGTAATTCAGAGACCTCTACAGATTGTACCGTCTTCTATCTACAAATGACTCTTCCTTAAACTGTGATAGAACTGCAGAAGGTTGCAGTTTGTAACCAACGGCATCAAGGGTAGTGGCTGTAGGAGAATCTAACCCCATCTTATAGTCTCCACACCTGCCTGCCGTGTGGTCTGCTGCACACTGTACTTCCTTTCTTGCATTTCATCCTTGAGTCCATGTCTAACTCCAAGGCTAAGATGGATGTTGCAGTGCTGGGTTAGCTGAGGAGGGTGTAAGGAAGAGGTTGCTGCTGACAGCATAGCTCTGCACTGTGCTCCCCATGGAGAGCAGCATGGGGCTGAGCATCTCAAAGGTACCACAGGAGTATGCATCAGTGATGTGATTTGTGCCCTGCACCCTGACAGTGAGCTTAGGGGCAGGGAAAGCTGGGACATGACGCATGCTCTGTTTGCCATGGGAATCTGTTTCTGTCTCTGTTCTAAGCATCTGTGATTTGTTCCTGAGGGAAAGGGAGATGGAGACATACTGTTTTCAATGTCTAGGGGGAAAAAGTGGAGGAGGAGAAGAATTAGGTGCATAATTTGGACTGAACTGCTTCTGATTCCCACTCTGTTTTCCAAGACTGATCTTTAAGAGCAAGGCCTTGACCCTCTGAAGTGAAGTCTTGAGCAGTATTGACTGTGTGCTGCTTAGATCCCAACTTGTCAAGGAGCTGCACCTAAATAAGTCCATTTAATTGAGTCCGTTCCTTGAGCGCATAAACTTACATCCATAGATCTGTGGAGAGATAATTTGGAGAAGCGGGGTCATAAGTCACCTTTTTCATCAGTCTGAGAGCTTAACACAGCCTCTGCAGAACTGAGAGGCACCGGATTCAGTTGTTCAGGATGCAGGGGAAAAGATGAGGCAGAACATACAGAACTGCAGAGCTGGGAATATTCACGTGGGGTGTTCTCAGAGGTTAGGGTCAGTTGCAGGGCCCTAAAATTTCAGTTTTGGGGCCAGCACCAGCCCATCCCAGCAGCTGCCACGAGATGGCAGCCAGATAAGATCCTGTCTGCAATCCCTGCCAAAATGATCAATTCTGATCTAAACTCCTAAAGAAAACTCGCTTTCCAATGCCCAAGTTGCATTAGTATTCTACTAATTGACATCTTGAGTGTCATTCAACCTCTTCTTTAAAAATAGCAGGTGTGTTCTTTACAAGAACACAGACATAGACACTATATATATATATAAAAAACAGTTAAACTGGAGAAGTAAAAGCTATAATTTAGTAACTTTAAGAATTTACCACTTCTTAAGCTTATGTTTTAAAGCTGAAGCATTTTTATGGCAGTGGTAAAGATTTACACTACAGTTGTGACACTACAGAGATGTCTGTACCTTGAGGACTCTTAAGCTGTGCACACTGAAGGAAAGCACCTCCTGGCAGCCTATGCAGAAAGGAGTGATTCCAGACTTCATCATGTTTCCTTGGACAAACAGGCAGTCCTGCAGGATGTACATTTCTAACTATCTTTTTTCCAGTGGTGGGATTCTGGAAAGGCCTCATCTGTGCTTTGCTTAGTTCATCCTAAAACCACTCTAAAAACTACCTAAAATATTAACTACTGCCTCTAATTTTTATAAAAAAAATAATCATATGTCATCATAAACCATCAGATCTGATTATCTTTGAACTTCCATTTGCTGTTTGAACACCACACATCAGTTCTACACTTCACAAGTGAGCTCTGTTCAGTTTCTGAACACAACTGTCCTGAAAAGTCCCCAAATGTCACATGAAAGCTCTTAGGTTATGCTCATTTTCCAGTCAAGCCTATCAAGATATGACATCTCTGGTCATAAATACCTATGACTGCATACACGTCCTTTTTGTATATCCTCAGAAAATGAGGATGGACTCAAGGAATAGATATTTGTTAATCTCTATGATTGCCTCATTCTTTATCTTTACTTAAACTTGCCCTTTGCATAGGCCTCCTTCTAATAGCTCCTGATTTGCTGGAGGAGATGATAATTCTCTGTTATTAGCTGCCTGACCTGCACAGACATTGCTATATAGATTATGGAAACAGATTCATAACATTAAACCAAATGAAACTCAAACCCACGTAACACCACAGCTCAGATTTTCAAGGCATTCTAGAAGCTTTTGATTCCCAGTTTATATTACTTCAAAGGAAAACCCACTGCAATCTAATGGATGATGTAAGAAGCAACCCCCTCTCCATTTGGGAATACATATCGATATATTACTGCGGAAAGGTGTCCACTGCCTACTTCCAGAGTAAGAGCACTACAAGCAGGTCCATAGCTGTTGTCTCCTCACGGCTCCACCAGCCAGGCTCACCTGTGCTGAACTTCCATCCTTGCTCAGAACTACCACAAATGTTGCCTAATGCTATAATTTTGGGAAGAGCACTCATTGTCTTCGGGAACTGGAATGGGACTTAGACACTGTTCCACTGAAGAATTCAGTCAAGTAGTTACTAATGATCCAGCCTGCATTTGAACTCATAAAATGGAAAAAATATTATCTGAAAATGAAGTTAGAGTGATTTCCTAGGCCCTGTGTCTTTCCCATTTCTGGGAAAAGGGGATTTAAAGGGCATTTCTGAATTTCCATGTCAAAAGGGAATCCCCTGCTAGGATGAAGCTGGAATCTTATGCCATCTGATCCTTCTTCCTTTCTCCCTACAACAGAGATGTTCTGGGACACAGCCAGGGCAGAAAGGGACACAGCCACACTACAGCGTTCTCCAACAATCCCGAGCCAGGAAAAGAATCCTTGGGGGTGATCCCAGCTGGCACACAGGAATGACCATTTGGCTGCTTTCACTTGCAGTAGTGGTGGTTCAGCCTCAGGCCCAGAATGAAAGGAGGTGGACAGGTGGTTTCCAGCCACGTTTGCCTTCCTCCCCCTGTGCTCGTGGAGATCTGCACCTTCTCTTTAGAAAAAGCAAATAATATGATGACTTTGTGTAGAACATAACTGTGGCTGAAGCTGCAGTAGGTGTTTAGAGCTCTCCTGTACATTAAACAAGTTACGGACTGGGGAGGGGATGAACACCTGCCTTCACTACATGGCAGGGCATCAGTCCACCTTGTACATCTGAGCCCTTGATTCTGAAGCCAATGGTGTGGAGATCTTTGGTCTGAGATGATGAAGCCATGTCTGAAACAAACTCTGAAAGCACTCTGAAAGTGAACAGAAACTCCTTAAACTGGCATTTGTTTGGCCTCATGATCTCTGTCATGAAAGTTGTTCTGTTAAAAGCTTTCTCTCCTCTTCCCTGTGTGATAGTCCCTTCCTTGGGCAGAGATGAGGCTGGATCCAGGAATGATTCTGTATCTTCTGAGAGCAGTGGCTGGAAAGGTGCTGGCAAGGTGTTAGAGCCAGTTTGGCATGTTGGGGCGTTGTTTAGATTCTGTGAAACTTGTCTCACAAGTAATTAATGGGTCTCTTCTACATCTGAAATGAAAACAATATCACTTGCATGTACTTCAGTTACTAAGAACATGGGGTTTGTGGAGTAACTCTTGTTGAACACACGTGCTATCCCATGCTTGGCAGAGCTTGTCTGAGTCTCTACCAGGGTGGGATGAATTTGTCTTAGGCTGATTGCTGTTTCTGTCTTCCAGGCTGCATTTCTGAATGCTTTATCTGCTATTAAATGCTCAACCCATTCTCAGTGCTGCCAGAACATGGCTCATGTAGTTACCCAGTCATAGGGACATCTTTGCTTAACTAATGTGTTTTTTTTCACCTCAGCCATTTTATGTTCCAACTTCATTCACACTTGGCCTCCTCTATTCATGCATCAGCAAAGCCTCCAGATAATGCTAATGTAGACTTCGAGGTTAGAGCAATGCAGGTGTAACATCAAGGTCTGGATTAAGAGCCACCAGTTCACTTGGAGCTAGTAAAGAGTTCTTGGGTATCCAAGACTTTCAACAGTCCCTGCATCCTTCACGTGGCTCTGCCACCTCTTCCAGGGCATAACTGTAAGTGAGAAACTAAACTCCAATTCAAACAAGGTTCAAGACACCTTGGGTGTGACTGATTTGTCCACAATATTTATGGAAATTAATGTAAAGCTTCTAGAGTATGTACAGTTTATAATTATTCAGCTCATTGAAAAGGGCAGCACAGACTGGAGAAGTACAAATTGACAGGAAAGTTCCCTCCTGCCTTGCAGAAGTGATGATAAAGAATAAATTACTGAAGAAAATTCAGCATTGTAATTGGGGAAGGTTCCCCTATTACTAAGTAAAGGCAACCATTAGCATCTGATTTGCATTTTATACCATGCAGCAGGAAATATTTAAGTTGACAAATAGGATATTTAATACAGCAACAGATACTTGGCAGTTAGATATTAACAACTGTTACTGATGTGATTTATTCACCATTATAAAAAGGGCATTACTATGTGCATATAATTCTGAAATTAACTCCAGTTTACCAAGAGGCCTTGACTACTTGACCTCTTAATATCCTTATAATGATGCCATTTACCATTCAGAGGCTTATTCAAGTCATTCACTGCTAGATTTGTTTTAAAGGGGTCCACTGTAGGGCAGACAGTTGTGTGTTAACATTTCTCATTGGAGTAGTAGGCACAAGCATTTTTTAAGTAGGGAAGACTCGTGGGGTTCATCTAAGATCAGGTTATTGGGAGCCTCACAGAAGCAATCCATGGTACTTCCTTCTGCTGCGCCCTCAGTATGGACTGGACTCATGGACCCTCGTTCAGGTTAAAACCATTCTCCCTTGTCCTGTCACTACATGCCCTTATAAAAAGTCCCTATCCAGATTTGTTGTAGACTCCCTTTATCTATATCAAAACACCTACCTGTAACTCCAAATTGATTTTACTGAACACTATTATTCTTCAGATGAAAACTGCAGGTGCGTTGTGTAGCATTTAGATAATTGCAATTTTCCATGATGCAGAGTTCACAGCTGCTGAGCTCATCTATCTGCGTTTACTCATCATTGCTAAAACCTGGGTAGCTAGCCTGGTGTTGGCTGGCATAGTTCATTTTCTGCCTAGTAGCATATACAGTGCTGTGGTTTGGGGTTTAGGATGAGGCTAACACTGAGTAGTGCTTATCCTAACCATAGACTTTTCATCTCCTCATGTCCCCAGCAATGGAGCTGGGGGCACAAGATGTTCTTTCACACAACTGCTGTTCTTTCACACAATTGCTCATTCTTTTATCTTAATGCACCTGTCTGTGCTTGGATTAGGTGTGGGCAACAGACCTTGACCTTTGCTATAGTGACCAGCTGGCCTTGACTCAGCTCATGTTGTACGTGACAGATGGAAACCTGGATTGTACCTCCAGCCACTTTGAAGTATCTCTTGGTTCAAAAAGAATGGAAAGCCAACGTACTGAGCACGAGGAGACAGAAACCGTGAGCAGCAATTTGGTTACAAATAAGAGTATGAATGTAAACTACTAAAAAGGTAAAATCTGTCCTAGATCACTACTCTAGAGGAGCTGAATCTGCTCCTTTCAGACTTTAAGCTGCTAATTTTAGATTTTTACAAGGTTAATACAGGATACCAACATGTCAGAAGTTAAAGGAGAGGTTCTGGATGCTTATGGGCACCTGATTATTCCTCCTTTGTATTCAGTAATACTGATATGTGGTAGTAACTAAGTTCTACATATTTCAGATAGTTTTCAAGTTGTAAAAAATATGGTAGTTTACATGCTGCAAGAGAAAGGGAGGAGGTGAAAGCCCTGCCCTGACCATAGGAGTAGGTTAAAAGCAGCTGAGATGAAAGCTGAGCCTTCAGTACATGAGTGCTGATTTGAGATCAGAAACTGGAACCTGGAGTTGTGCCCCAGCTGTGTGAGATATGCACAAAACAGGGTAAAACAGGACAACATTTGCAGAAGGTTTTGGTCCCCAAAATCCCTCTCAGCTCCCGCTTGAGTTAAACCCAAATCTTGACCGGAACTGGATGGACTTTAAGGTCCCTTCCAATCCAAACCATTCCAGGATTCTGTGAGAAGTCAGATAATAAAGTGTATGTGTATGTATATGTTCATGTCTATATACACACATAGATGCAAATCAGATGCCAATTTACACACATTGACAGAAGATTGACAACTCCCTGTTTTTTTCAGGGAGGAGGAGGAATGCTAGCCCCATTCCCAAAATGTCATGGTTCTGTAATTGAGAGGTTAATAAGCTCTTGATCTATTGTTCTTGTCAAGCAACCACTTCTAGTAGGAGAGAATGAGATCTGATTAGTCCCAGTAGTGCAAGTTTTAGAAAGGAAAAGTAATCAAGTGGCAACTTTTTTTAATTAAAATTCTGTCAGAATTAACATGAATTGTCACCATAGCCTTGATTTTTCTCCTTTCTGTTTTTCTGAGGGTTTTACCTCCTGAAGAGTTAACTACAAAAACACTCAGGAAAATATCTTGAGAAGAAACAAACAAACCAAGAGACAAATGCTTTTACAGCACATGATCTGTAATGAATGATTAAGTAAAACACTTTGTGTAAAATTATGATGTTAATAATGATTCTGTCCCTTTTAATTTATTAGATCTTCTCAGTGCTGGTAGGTTTGATTTTGATGAAACGGAGCAGCACCCGAGTTGCTGTGATGGTTTTATTTTTAGAAATGCTTCTTTGAAAGAACAAATTTCCTAAATACTGCTGCTACTGTAATTATGTACAAACCCAATCACTCATTATAGTTAGGATACATTATCTTCTAGACAGATGAGGCTAAATAAGCAACACATTAATAATTCATCCTGCAGTTCATTATGCATGTGTATGCATGCTTTGTAGCTGAAATAAGCACCTCATCAACCTGATGCCAACCCTTAAACAATAGTTCTGTGTTATTGCAGCCACAGCCGAGTTTACGCTTGTTAAACTGCTGCTTGGATTATTTTATCAAGCATTCATTTATTTGTGGTCCCCTACTGCAGAGAACAGATTTTGGAAGCTCCTTTTTTAAGTTAATGACTTGAGCAATGGGTGTTATTAATTCGCAGAATATTATAAACATGATTAATTTTCAGGCAGAGATGTATTAGATAAGGATTTCAACTATGTCAACTTAAATGAGTCAATGTCAAAACAAGTATCATTTTAGTAAGAAAATACTGTAAATTACACGCTTCAACATGCAGTATCCCCCCTCTGAACAGTCTAGTATTAAAAACAACATCACAGGAGTCTTGCTTTATGGGAGCATCTCTGTTCTTTAGTCCTGAGCACTGAGGAGAGTTTAAACTCCAACGCAGTGCTAGTTTTCATCTATAGTATCAAGTCCCCTGGCATCAGCTCTGTAGCTCCTTGAAGTGTCCTCAATGACTTCCTGGAAAAATGACACACTCTAATGCCAAGGAGGAATGCTCAGTCTTGGAAAATCCCAATTTCAAATACAACTCATTATCTGCTTTGGAATTTCTCCTATTGGAAGAGCTGGCTCCAGAACTATGTGTGTTACCATAGGGCAGCATGGATTCACTTAGAATGACTTCACAGGGCTCAGTTACTGATGAAGCTGTGGAAATATCAAAGTGGTTCATAAGGAGTGATGGTGTAGACCTGCTCTAGAATATCAGGTCTGACATACAGCGTGAGGTGAGGACTGAATTTTGCTGCATGGAAATGTCTGTGTTCAACAGACACTGTGATGGACAGGAATTCCTCCCAGGGGAGTCTTACTTCACACTTACATGAGTTCACTGAGAAAAAAGCCATTTAAATAGTGAATCGTTGCTTTCTGAGCTAAACTGGTATGAAAATAAAGACTCCTGTATGATTTTTCTCTAGCTTGCTCCAAGAAGCAGCTGGTGCGCTGCAGCAAGCAGCCAACTGAGGCACTCCAGCCTTGCAGAAACCTACTACGGTGTTTTCCTCCAGACGTGTCAAGCTTGTGGGATTGGATTTGACCTCCAGGTAGGAGCAGAAAAGGTTAGAAAATGTGATACCCTGCAGAAACTGTGTGTGTAAAACCCAAATGGTGAAACCCGTCAGTACAGTGTAAATATGAAGTGTTGTGTTTAGCATAATCTAATGTTTAAGTGTTCTGTTAAAAACACAGTGAGGTGATGCTCTGCAGTTTTGTGAGGAGGGCTTGGTATAAATCAGAATTGTGTTATTTTCAATTGTTTTTGTGATGCTAATTAATGAACTCTTGAATTGCATAAAAGTCTTCAGCAGTTCCTGTGCTGATGAGTCTAATCTTGCAACTTGCCCGTCAGCTTACTTCAGCTGGAATGCGAGTCTTGAAGAACTAAGAATCCATCTGATGTAGCATAAGAGTGGAGCAGTTGAAGGATGAAGAGGATGATAACATGTTTATGTTATACAATAGGGGGTGAGACAGGTTCTCTCTGGGAGACCACCAAGAGAATGCTGTGCAGATCTGCACTCACGCAGAGCAGTGCTCGGGTTTTCTGAGAGCACTTGGCCATCATATGGCCATTTCAGACACCTCTGTACCCAGGAGAGAAGATAAACCTTCAGAGGTCATGAGGTCAGGTAATAACGGGGAACAGAATGAAGAATGAAGAAATGAAGATGCAGCCTGTGCTAGGGTGCTTAAGGCTCTGAACCCAATTGTAAGAGAACGAAATGTAAAAGCATTTAGGAGATGTTACACAAGACAGAACAGAGGACAGATTTCGGATCCTAGAGTGCAGGGCTTCACTGGGAAAGGCAGAGCTTGAAGTGTTTTCTCTAAATAAATCCTCCCCAGGGATGACACCTCACAGTGATACATGGTAACTGAGCACTAAATGCAGGTTTTGCTGCTCTCACCTGTATCAGGCCTGTGAAGAACCAGAGCAGAAGGTTAATGCAAGTCCATGTCCTGTGTATATCTGAGATGAAATAGAGGTTCTAATAACAGGAAAACCTAAACATATTCTGTATTTCAATGTAAGTGTCTATAAAGCTTTTAGGGGTTAACCTGTCTCTTGATAAAAATAACCATAAGGAAATAATTTTTAAGATACTTATGACCATCTCCTACTGCTTTGGAACATAAGTATTTGGTACTGAGTAGACTCTGCTGTATGTATTGTATTTATATAAACCTAATGTATTCTTTACAGTAAGAGCAATATAAAGGTAATGTATTCTCTACAATAAGTTAGAGCAATAATCTGCTTACACTGAGCAGTAATACATTGTGCAGAATTCAAGCCCAGCCTTTCTTAGCTATGGGTATGTACTTACTGTCCCAGTGTAATACATTTATTATCATTATCATTATTTTAGGAATAATTAAAACAACTTTTTGTTTTTTTATTTTACAGGAAAAACAGGGAACAGTTTTTATACTGTATGAAGATCAGCAGCGACAGAGACTGGGAATGATGTAAGTATACACAGCTAGTTCCATGGGGACACCTTGATGTGAAGGGAGCCCCACGGCGGCCTGGCCTCTGATGAAGGTTGTGAAGTAAACAATTGGGACAGCACACACTCAAGTTCACTGACTGTCACCTCCTGTTCAGAAAAACAGAATGACTTCTTCTAAGATTGGACTTCTGAAAAGTTTTAGGGAGGCTTTCATTTTAGTAATAAAGAGAAAAGTACAGGAATGTGCTTAGATCAAAGCCTAACTGCTGCAGACTAAAGAACACAGCAATTAGCTAGATGCACTGTCAGCTGCAATCTAGCTGTGAGGAGCAGAGGGATTAGCACAGGCTTGCTTTTACAGGCAACATTATTAAAAACCTAACTACACGTGACACAGAGAAGGTTGGAGTTGAATGCCTTTTCTGTATTGTTCTTCACAAAGCGATAAACAGCACTCAGGCAACAGCAGATCCCATAGTCTAGTAATTCTTTAGACATCTGAACCTCTCCCAGGAAGTCTTAAGAAAGCATAACGTGCATGAATCTACTACACATTGATGGAAAACCTCTCAGAGAGAATTTATGTAAAGTTTAGTGCCAAAACAAGATGTAATGAATGCAGGGCTGCAAGCTCTGTTCTCAGTCTGTTCTGTATGTCTGGTGCTGGAGCTATTTCATTAATGACCTAGATGAGAAAACAGCTTCCTCAAGTGCTGGATGTGACTGCAAGTATTTTGGAAGGCAGGAATAGAATTCAGAATGATCTCAGCAAATTGAAGAGACAACATGAAAAACAGAAATACATTAAGGTGGAACCAGCTGCAAGAATTACACTGAGATAGCAGAATGAATACAAGGAACAATCAGCTTTGCAGAAGAGGATCTGTGAGTTACAGTGGTTCACTAACTGCCTTCGAGCCACCCTGTCATCATCTTATGGAAAAAGGTAAACAGAATAACCTGGAAGGCATGGGCAGTAATCCTTCCATTCTGCTCACAGTGGAGGTGTTGAGTGGTCTAGAAAGCATGACTTACAAGGGCGAATTAAAGGGGACTCAGAGGAGGAGGAGGCAGAAGTGAGATCTGTTAACAATCCTTACATAAAAAGCCTCTGTGGGAAGGAAAAATCCCATCTCCATGTCTTGGGTAGTAGAACAAGAAATTAACCTCACTTGCAGTCAGGAAGATTCACGTTTAGCACTTCTGATAGTAAGGGAAGGGAAGAACTAATTACACTGTTCACTGTGATCACCACTGACAGCGTTTAGTAACAGATTAGACAAACCTCTGTGAGGGTGCTACAAGTAGCATTGATCCTGCCCTGGAACAGGGAAGGGACTAAATGAATCCTGAAGATGGTTTCCTGGGCTATGATTCTTGCAGCCTGTACTGAGCTCCTTGTGGGTGAGGCGACTGCTAGTACACAAGCAAGTCGGCTTGGTTTAAAGCTTAGATGAGAGACACTGCATCGTACCTGCGTTTCTGCTAGCTACTCTGGAACAACACATCAACAAAACATTACCTCCTGGATCACCATAATGACCTGGCAGTTAATATATTACCATAATACTCTCAAATATGTTTGCCATGTGTTCTGATCCCAGATTTGTGTTCCCTCAGATTTCCAATGCAAATCTTCAGTTGAAAAGACTTTCAAGACTATTTCAAGAACAACAGATCACTGAAATACCTGAAACATCCAGTGAATTCTCATCCAATTTACTACACTGGAGATCTATTGTCATTTCCAGTCAGTAACTGAGGTGCACTCTTCCTCCCCATAGTATCTTGTTCCATAAGATCATATCTATTACATCTGTATGTACTACTGAGAAACCAAAGCCTCCAAAGCTACAACTAAAGAGATGCTAACTGCTGCAATTTCTCTCAGATGCCTTTCACAAATTGTAGGCAAAAGCAACAGTTCTTACGAGCTAATCTCTGTGTTTACAGTATTTTTCTATCTCTGTCCTAACTCAACAGTAGCCTTTTACATGGACTAGTTGAAACCTCACTGCTTACTTCTGCTAAGTTGATTAATAAAAATTATTTATTGCACAAATCCTTTCTGTTGACAAGTTAAAATGGAGCCTCATCTTTCATATCTCCCTGAAGATTGCCACCTTGTGAGATTGAAAATACTCATTAAATTCCATCACCAGACAGGCACAAATGAGAGGGCGATTGTTTTTAAGCATGTGAGGGGAATCATTGGTAAACTCATTTGTTTGGATATCATTAACAGAACAATTGGAGAAGATCTCCAGGGGGTCCTCATGACCTTTGCTCACAATCTCTTCATCATCCATCAAGAAATATCAGCACCTAATATGCAAGGCGAGACCAATTTTAAGGTGAGGTGTTAATTAACTAACGATCCTGGTTAATTTCTGTACAAGGGCTGAAAATACCTCATGCTGGATTATAAACAAGTGCTAAACCATTCCTTTTTTATCGTTAGCAGTATGTATTTTACACTGTCTAGGTCAAGATAGCAAGTCTCCCAAGGAACCTGTTAGTTAACTTTAAGTTTGAAACTTTTTCTTTGAAAAGAGACAGACTTTAGTGTGAAATGATTTGTAATGTAATGCTCCTGACTGTCCTTTGTAAGAGGCAGGGAGCTCTTGGTACCGCCTCAGACAGGTCTGTCACAATTGTCTGGTTTATCCTAGAGGGGCACCATCAAAGTAGGAATCTTAAATTACAAACAAACTTCTCAGTTTATAATAGCTCCTTATATTATTAACATGGATTTCTTTTAAGCAGGCAGCCACTGTGTGCTCCACCCACTAGTTCACATCCTTCACCTCGCCACCATTTTCACAAGTCAATTTTGTTCCCTATTTCCCTGTGCTCTGAGGCTCCGGCAGTGCCTGTCCCTGTGTGCCAGCAGATGCCCTGTGGCTGCGTGGGGGGCATCAGGACAAAGCGTGGGGCTCCTCACTTTGCGAGCATTCCCTTTGGAGCACCCACCTTTACTCCAAAGCTCCTCAGTGACGACCTTGCTGGCAAAAAGCAACCGTAAAGCAGAAATGAATCCAACCCCCTGCCCTGAAACACACACTCGTCACAATACTCTTTTTAATTCCAGAGAATAGCTGAACTGTCCAGAGGGAGTTCTCCTGCTAAACTCCATCACCTTTAACTTCATAAAAACTCGCCAAGATCCTGCCTGAAAACATTTTGTAGAAAGGGGAGCACCATGTTACAGACTTGTACCTTAACTTGCATATTTTCTACCAGGTTCTTTCCCATGTTAATTCTGACTGTACTTTCCTCTGCCAAGTGGAGCATGAAGTGACAGATTTAGAGAAGATATAATTAAATTTCAACATGTTACAGAATAAGCAAAGAAAACCTTTTTCCAATATGAGGGAGTGAAAAGCAACCACTGAACTACAAAAGGGAACTCTCCTTCATAGTGACTTAACAATGATTTCCGTATGTGAAATAGAGCAACTATTAGCTAATCAGAAGTAACAATTACAATGAATTGTATTTATTTACCTGAGATTTGTATGTATTTACTAATAATTCCCACAACTGTCCCCAGAGTAACAGTAAATTTAACTGGTGCATCGTGTCTTGTGTAACACTGGTTACCTTTGCAAGGCAAGTGCTACCAGATGTGCATTTTGGCTGCTGGATTTCATTATAATGCCCATTAAACAATTTGTATTCCTTGAATCTGTTGCAGATGGCAATTCAAGATATCGAAGCAATTCTAGGAATTACAGCAGAAAACAAACTGAAATTGGAAGAGGAGCAACCTTCAGCAGCAGATGCTCTGAAAGAATAGTTAACGGGAAATGTTTAAGTGCCTTATTCTTTATGCTCCTGGAAATGCTTTTTCATCTGTAAGAACAGATTTGGTTTTCCTTCTGCACCAGCACATGAAGGAATATTAATTGAGAGAACAGTTCTGATTTCTGAGTGTGATGTTTAGAAGAATATCCCTGCTTTCACAAAAATAAACTGCTGAAAAGCAGAGGATCATGATAAACACCTCTGTTCATACTGTCATTACTGAAGTACAGTATCTGAATTTGAAATCTTATTAATAGGAGTCATGCTGTCTTTGTCACCAAATCAGACAAAGAGATCATGCTCCACTGAAGAGTCCTGTAACCCTAAATTCTCTTTCAAGCCTACTTTATTCTAAAACACAGACTTCTAACATGAAAGTAGGTCCAGTGCTGTTCTGCCTATAAATACACTTAAATGCCATCATAGCAGCAAGCCCATAACCCAGATTCCTCTTTAGAACTGATTGTCGATATTCTTTTTCCACTATTTCTTTTGTTATCTACAGATTCTTGAAGCATTTTTTCATGTTCATTTTTCAAATTATCAGAAATACTAGTAATAGCACTAGTTAAACAATGGAGTACGAAGGGACTGTCCTGGGTTTACCAGAAGCAGTCATTTTTTCTCCTTCTTAGTAGGTGGTGCAGCGCTGTGTTTTGACTTTCGGCCTGGGAACAGAGCTGATAAATGACAGGGACTATCAGAATTATACTTGTACTACAATTCCCAATGTAACATGACTTTACAGATCCAGCTGTCCATCAGGTAGATCCTGTATTTCAGACACTGGTGACTTCTTTTGTCATCGTTTCTGTGCACTGTTATGTTAAAGGACTACAGGTACATTTGTAAAATCATCCACCACATCTTTCATATTCCAACAGACAGCACTGTTAATCTTACTATGGAGAGTACATCTTATCCACTGGATGGATACTGCTGTCCAAGCATGTCAGCTATCTTTGAGATTACTTCCCAAAAAGCTCAGACAAAACCAAATTTTAAGACAAACAATGAATGTGACCAAGCAGCTGCAGATTAGCACCCAGGTTTGTCAGTGCCCAGGTCTTTGATCCGTTACCTTCATAAATAATCTTTTGTGTTAATGTTTTTCTCTTCTGCTTTGATACCAAAAGTAATTACTGAAGATGAGAATGCTTGCATAAATGCTGATCCCCATTTCAGATAAATCTCTGAAAGTATTTTTGTTTAATTCTTGATTTTGTTCCTTTCTTACATGTAATCTCAATACAGTCTTGGGTTTGGGTATTCCAGCACCCACAGATTTTTCTAACAGGAGATTTAAACAGTGAATGAACTTCCTGGAAGTGTCTATTCTTTATGGTTAGAAATTAAAGTAAGAGGTATTTTGGGCTGTGGTATACATAATGATCTCTTGCTTGACAAGAAATAACGTACTAAAAAGGATAGTGTATATGCTTACTAGATCTTCTAAAAGGTAAGATATATTTATTCTCTGTTCTACTTTGAGGGGCTGCAGAAGAAAGTATGTTGAAGCATTTATAAAGCAGTCTCTCTTGTTTTACTGCTAAGCAACTCTTTGTAGATAGATTCCTCACCCAGCCTCACGCCCAAGCTATGGAACTCCCCGGTTTGCTTAGCAGAAGCAACAACCTAGGTAACAAGGAGGCACAGAAGAGCTCAGCAGTACCAGCCTAGGAGCCAGCTAGTTTTGTAAGGGTTAAGGAAAATTAAGCCTTGATCCAAGCCAGAACAACATAAGGTCTGAGAGGCTCATTAGTTTACTGGCACTTAATAGACTGTAGTGTCCTAGGAGTAAACGAAACCTGCACTTCCTTATGTTTTGTTCTATTCTGACAAAAGAAAACTGTACCTGTTTTTGCAGGAAACAAGTGACCTGAAAGTTCCTGTGGTGAGAGAGATTTCTCAGTACATGCAAAGTGTGAAATGTATTTTGAGGGGGGAAAAAAAGTTTTTAATTACTATTAACACTTCTGAGCGTTGAGCTGATGGAAGGATTGAAACTGCTTTACAGTCTCTCACATTCAAGTCCCATGCTGGTGGTGCCAAAATTGTACTTTTTTTTTAGCAATACAGCAGATATAAAATGAAATTACAATCTTAAAAAAAAAAAAGAAAACGTTAGATATAGTCATGATTCTCTTGCTCACACAACTGGATTATTTATTCCCTCACTAAAGGAGTAATAGGGTTCTTGAGCTGCAGTTTGAATTTCAAGGCATGATCTAGGCTGGGAAGAAAACAGAGCAAGTGTGAAATGGAGAGATAAAAGGTGGCCCAGGTATGGCTGCTCATCAGAAATTGCCCAAGAATAAAAAGGGGAGTGGGCATTAAGCCCACGTTTCCACATTTAGAATGAGCACAGAGCAAAATAGTTCATCAGCACAACCACTTACGGAGGTCTTATGAAATACTCACCCTACCCATTTCCTGAAAGATCTCCAGTACCTCATTCAGAGGGATGGATCAGGAGAATTTTACCACCTTCCATCTAGGTTAAGGTAACAAATCTCTGGAATTTTAAGACTAACCTGGCCCTCAGCATTTCACAGTAATTATCTAACATCACTGCGAAATGTCCCAACGAAACATCAACCCCCATTTAACAAATCACCTAAGAGGTACTCCCCCTTACTATACACTGATCCTCTCAATTTCAGTTTAGATTACAGATTTTGTTACAGCAACCAGATACTAAAGATAAGGAACTACAATCATCGACAACCTTTATGAACGTAATTTAATATATCATCTCAACTGAAGAACGGTTAAGCAGGTTTTTAGTTATATCACAAGAATATGCATTTCAGGAGACTATTATGATGTAAAAATGATCAAACTCTACCAGAACGCAGTGAACACAGAGGCCTGAACTGTGCAAACATTATTAAAAGAAGACATTTGGAAGAATGCTTTGTAATGCTTCCAACCTCACCTTTAGGATGTTTGGTCATGATTCTTGTATACTTAAAAAGTATGCAATGTTTTGCTCTGCAGTTGTAAATACAGATGCTACTTCATTCCATTTGCTTGAAGTAGAGGTGTGAGGTTATGCTGCCACAGGCAACACAAAGTTAATGGCAAAGTATCTTGAAATAAATAACTTAAGAATAAAAATAATTATCATATATCTACTTTATAGCAATAGCTTTGTAAGAGGTAATTTTGACCATGAAATAAACAGCAGAATATTACTTTTAAAGTATGTTACCTCAGCTCTTCACCACAGACGGTCGCAGTATCCAGGTTTTCTATCCTCAGTTATTGTTGCCACTAATAAAGAAAGATATTAAAGTTAACTATATGCTCTGTTAATTATAGGAAGAGGAACTTGAGTCAAATTTGTTACTGGCAATTATTAATAATTACCGGTTCCATATACATGTAGTACACTGCAGTACATAAACACGGGACATTGTGGAGTAGTAACTGATTAATTAGCACATTCATACCACATAGCTCAATGGTTTAAGATTGCTGAGTTTGAGATACTGCTCACAATTATGAAAAGGAAAAATTTGTTCCCATTTCTCAGTTTTTCTGTACGGATTTTTGTACTTTTTCTCTCAAATATAATGTTTAATAGTTCAGAAACCTGCTTTTTATTTAGAGAAAACATAGCATGGTTTGGGTTCAAAGGACCTTAAGCACATCCAGCTTCAACCACTGCCGTGGGCAGGGACACCTTCCACCAGAGCAGCTTGCTCCAAGCCCGTGTCCAACCTGGCCTGGGATGGGGCAGCCACAGCTTCCCTGGGCGCCCTGTGCCAGCGCCTCAGCACCCTCACAGGGAGGAATAGCGGGTATAACCTTAAAATATTTTGCTTCGAAAGGGTCTAACACTTGCAAAGAACTATTTTTAACCTGGCAAATTCCACCAAGTAAAATTAATGCAGTTTAGAGTGGCTTTTACGCACCGTATGTTAACCTGGTGGACGCTGTGGCCGCGCGGATGTGCCAGCAGCAAACGATCCCCAGACAAAACCATTCCTCAAACTGTAACTGCCGGAATCAGGGATATTTTAACTCACTGTAACGAGACCTAACGTACCCTTCCCGCAGCTCATGCTCCCCTCGGGCTGTGCGGGGAGGACACACCGGGAAGGTCCGTTCGCTTCGCGGGGCCGCCGGGCCCGCCTGAGGCAGCGCGTGCCCTCCCCTCACACCAGCCCCGCCGCCGCTGCCCCTTCCCGCCCTCCGGCGGGCCGGGCGCAGGCGCTGAGGTGGCGCGCGCACGCACGCGCGCGGGCCGGGGCCGTGGGTGCTGCTGTGGTTGTTGTGGGGGCTCCAGCCCCGCGGGATGCTGGCGCTGAGGCGGCTGCACGAAGCGGTCGTGGGGTTGCTGCTGTGGCGGGGGGCGGCGGAGGCGGCAGCGCCTCGTCCCGCAGCCTCGGAGGTGCTGAGCCAGCACCTGCGGCAGCGCGGCCTGCCCCACTGGACCTCGTACTGTGTCAAGTACAGCGCCGTCCGCAACGACCAGTTCGGCCTCTCCAACTTCAACTGGCGGGTGAACGGAGCCAACTACCACATCCTGCGCACCGGCTGCTTCCCCTTCATCAAGTACCACTGCTCCCGCGCCGCCCCGCAGGACCTGGCCATGCACAATGCCGCCTTCACCGCCCTCAAGGTCCTCAATGCCGGTAAGTCGCTGCGCGGCCCGGGCGGGAGCGGCACCCTCCCCTCAGCTTCCCCCGCCGGCTGAGGCGGGTGCAGGGGCGAGGCGCCTGAGGCGCGGGGCGGGAGGCGGGAAGGGCTGAGGTAAAGCGGCGCTCGCTGGTGAGGACCTCGTCCCTGAAGCGGGGCCCTGCGGGGCGGCTGCGTTCCCCTGAGGTGAGGGATCCCCCCGCGACTGCCTCACCTCCGGCCCTGCTGTCGGACCGGGCGGCGTGAGGAAACAGGGTGTAAATCAACACTCCTCGGGGATTTTACCGAGTTCGCGTTTCGCTGTCCGGTTACTGGGGCGCTTGACATCATCGGGTATGGATAATTCTCCACATACAAATCTATGTTCTCTTACCGTGGGTGAGATCCTCGCCTCTAAGCAAATACACGAGCGCCAGCTGAAGGGAAACTGTTTCTGTGAGAGTGCCTGAGCGAATCTTTGCACCTGACATCCAGCTTTCATGTGGGCTTGGACCCCTGAAGTGCTACGCAATATAAAGGCTTATAAATAAAAATGTACTCTTAGTACATTATTCATATAAAAATAGCTA